TAAAAAGGAACTGTTTGAACTGATCAGTACGGCAGTTGGCGGAGCGCAGACTCCCCTGCCGTCCAGCGCTGTCTTTGCTCATATTCTACTTGCTATAATTAATAAAATTATAATTGGATTATGATCCATTGTGGTCTCAATTTATAACACTTTCCAACTGTCAGGGATTAACGCCGCAGCCGACCTCCTGCCCGTGACCTGGTGATCTCCAGCAAGCTTGTGAGCAATGACAGGTTGCAATGTTTTTTATTATTTCTCTGTCTCTCGGCGCTGTTTCAGCCGTTTGCTGCCGTCGCCCCTCAGAGCCGAGGTAGCACAAAGGAGGTGAGCCGGGGGGATGTTTTTATCCCCCGCTATGGTGTGTAATTGTGATTTTCGAGCGGCGTGGAAGGACCCGGCCGTGAGCCCAGCGGCGGAGCGCGCCTTGCCCTGTGGCGGTGGAAGGGGAGGGATGCGGGATGCAGCGGCGTGGCCAAACCGCTCCCCCTCGGCGGCGCAGAAAATCCCTTACTGCCCGCCCGGGCTGCGTGGGGCCCCGCGGCACCTCCGCCCGCCCGGGCTGCGTGGGGCCCCGCGGCTCCTCCGCCCGCCCGGGCTGCGTGGGGCCCCGCGGCTCCTCTGCCTGCCGTGCCCACGGGACTCCCCCAAACACGCCGTTCCCGCTGCCCCTGGGGACACCCCCAGCTAGAAGCCTGGTTCCCCCCCGGGCCTCTCCAGCCCCCCCGCCGCGGGGGCAGGCGGGTCCGTCTGTGCCATAAGGGCCCCCAGCCAGGCTACACGCACACGGGGCTTTCGGTAAGGGGCAGGTGCTAATAAAGCTTTTAAAAGCCACATTACTGCAAATATAGAAGACACCTATTTTTAAATCTTTTCTTTAATTGGAAAACAAATTGTTGCTATTAAGGTTTTCTGGGTACCTAACAAGCAGCGATATTATCTAATATTTTATATATAACAGCGTGTAATTATGTTTTACAGCTATCATACCACATTTTCCAATACCATAATGACTGTCTGCCAGTAGATTTGTCTTTTTAAAAAGCATTCTAGCATCATTTACCAATTACGTGAAAAGTACATGTAAATGTATTACAAATTCACTCATAAGCACCATTTACCCAAATGAAATACCCCCAATAATTAGGGGTTAATACCAGCAATTGATGTAAAACAGGTTTCTAAAGGGCAAAACAGTTTTCAGTGCAGGATCAGCCATTATTGTAAAAACAACACGATTAAAATAGATAAATTTAACCTGTTCTGGTGGGAGTATGAGAACTAAGGCCGTGCTTTCACGTGCTTCTTTTTGGATGGTATAGGAGTCACCGAATAGTTTTAATTCTAAAACATTTTCTCGTTCTCTGTTACACAGTGCTTCAAAATCCAACACGGGAAGAAAATGCTGTAGACTTCTTCAGTGCACACACAGAGCTCCCCCACCCGCCCCGGCGCCGCGCGGCGCCGGGCCCACCACGCTCCCCCGAAGGTGCCGACGAGCTCCGGGGGGGCCAGGGCCCCCGGCACAGCGGGTCAGATTCCAGCCCTATAAATATTGATGAAGTGAAATGCTTTTATGCTCGCAAATAGTTCTTTTGCGTAGCATATGTTCACGAGTTTTATCAGCGTAAATGGATAATGTCGGGTCATTTTCCTTGACTATTGTAAGGGGAGGAAAAGCCCAGAATTTTCCAAATCAGGAACGAAACACACCATAAACATATTCACTGGGATACCTTCCGAAAATTGCTCTTAATGCTTAAATGCCAAAATCAAAATTAAGAATTTAGTAAGGAATTAAATGGCCAAGAAAAGACTGTTAATTGCTGATTGCTGAGATTCCTGGAGCCGGTAGCAGGTTACTCATGCCCCAAAAGCTGTTTGGCTGCAGTCGGCCCCATGCCGGGCTCAGGCTCAGGCTCAGGCTCAGGCTCAGGACCAGGCTCAGGCTCAGGCTCAGGCTCAGGCTCAGGCTCAGGACCAGGACCAGGCTCAGGCTCAGGCTCAGGACCAGGCTCAGGCTCAGGCTCAGGCTCAGGCTCAGGCTCAGGCTCAGGCTCAGGACCAGGACCAGGACCAGGCTCAGGCTCAGGACCAGGACCAGGACCAGGCTCAGGACCAGGACCAGGCTCAGGCTCAGGCTCAGGCTCAGGCTCAGGCTCAGGACCAGGCTCAGGCTCAGGACCAGGCTCAGGCTCAGGCTCAGGCCCAGGCTCAGGCTCAGGCTCAGGCTCAGGCTCAGGACCAGGCTCAGGCTCAGGCTCAGGCCCAGGCTCAGGCTCAGGCTCAGGCTCACTCGGCAGGAGCGGGGCAGCGTTGGCCCGTGCTGTCACCCGAAGGGAGCACGAGAGCTGCGGGCACAGCTACAGACACCACCTCGGATAGTCAAACTAGCTTTGCTCACAGCACTTTTTTTTTTGTTTTTTTTTTTTTTTCTGGCAGGATGATGCTCCTGTAGAAACCTTTTAATTTTTGCAGACACTGATTTTTGCTCAGTAGAGAATTAAGCTAGGGAAATTGCATGGGTGGTCTTCAGCTGCTCACCTGGCTCACACAGTCAGGTATCAGCAAAAAATATCGTCTTAAAAAATAGGGTGCATCTTTTCCAGCTCTGGTTGCAGCCGTAATTTGTGTAAGTATTGAAAGCTCCATAACTAGTATTGGCCTGTTCTATAGTTACTGTAAATCACTACAATTTCATTGCAACTAGCAGAGAGTTTCCTCTTTCTCCCCAGAAAAAAAGAAGGGAAAAAAAAGAAAAAAAGAGAGTTTGTCTCCTCTTCCTCACTAGGGACCTGCCCCGTCATCTTCCCCAACATAAAATGTTCACCATTCTATGGAACCTATTTGAATTAAAAGGCCACTTTTTTTTTTTTTTTTTTCCTATTTCAAATGGTTAAATAACCTCCCTTGATATTTCATTCTGCTCATGATTTCTCGTCTTCCTCCTCCCTCCCCTGCAGTAGTTACCAGTGGGTTAACTGCATTTACAGGAATTGGGGTTGAATACGCCATAAATTTACTCGTTCGCGTGGGTCTAGTGGGAGAGGAGGGGGAAAACAAAGAGGAAGCCAAGCCTAGCCCGTTTTCCTTAACATGAAAACGAGATTGCACCTTGTTATTCTCGGCTTGGTGCTAGGTGGGAAGACAGGAGAGGGTTTGCATTCACGCGCCGGAGCGCCAAAGCCGGTGGGTCCGGGGGGAGGCGTGCGGTGCCCCCCGGCCCCGCGCCCGCAGCGGCCGTGCCGGGGGGCCGGGAGCCGCCCCATCGGCAGGGCCCGGGGAGGGGGTCACCGGCCCCCCCGGCCTCGCGGAGGTCAGCCGGGTCCCGGGGCGGGGGGGGGGGGGGGGGCTCAAGCAAACGGTATTGCACATCTTCAGCCGGTTCAGGCTCGCCCCCATGCTTCAGCTGGTCACCGTGAGCAGAGTCAGGTGTTGTGAGGTGTTAAGGCAGCGGGTTGAGTTGCTGCCTGGGCGTCCCAGTTGCCTTTTTTATTGTCCCCCGAGCGGTTGCAGGAGGGGCCCCGCGGGCTCTGGCGGTGTCTGCTCCTCTCGGCCACACGGCCCGTGCTGCGGGGGCAGGTGGCCCAGCCGCTGGGCATCGCCGGGGAGGGACCCGGCGTCACCGCCAGCCTCCGCGTCCTACCGGGGCGTGCGATGGGCAGGAGCCTGCGGAAGGGGGGGGTCGGCTCAGTGGTGTGCTTAAACAAACCCCCCGCAAGTCCCCTTAGTGCCCTTCGCAAAGAAAGAAGCACCCCCCCCCCCTTTATCTATATATCCCCATAGAACCTTCCATTGCAGCCTCGGTAAGAGGCTGTGCGTAATGATAACAGGCTAATGGAGGCAATCATTCCTTTTCCATGGGAAATTTTACCCATCATCTTTGACAAATTGCGCTTCTGGATCGCGCCGCTTCAGTGAAGCTGCGGTTTGCCACAAGCGCTGAATGCTCAGGTGCACAAACATTAGATCTGCATCCATTACCATTTTAGAAATGCTTCTTTCGTCCCATTGTTACATCTTTCTGGGGGGGAAAAAAAAAAAAAAAAAAAAAAAAAAAAAATCTCTGTGGCAGAAGATTGCGTGGTGAGAGAACGATAACTGTGTTCCTTTTAAAATAAGCAAGCGTCAGCCCTCCAGACAGTGCCCCAGACGGCATTTAAGTGACATTTGCAACGGCAGCGCCCGCGGGCTCCCCGCACCATCGTTTGCCGCCACGTAAACGCGCTGTGACTTCCCTGCCCCGCCCCGGCGCTGCCCACCCGGGTGCTGCCTGGCGTGACGCGCTCACCCACCAAACAGCGCGGCACCTCTACACGTCAGTGTTACCTGCCCTTGATTTCTCCCGGCTCTGTGTCTTTTTAGGAGCCGCTTATTAAAACTCTCGGGTTTTTATCTCCTGCGTGGGAGCGGCGCAGCCCCTGTCTGGGGAGCGCTGGGGACCAGCAGGCCGGGCAGTGGGCGGGCTGGGAGGGGTTGAGTCATTGCCCGCACCGGGCGAGGGGGCGGTGAGGTTTGGGGGGAGAAGGGGTCGGGAACGGGGGCTGCTCTGCCCTCCCAGCCCTCGCCTGACCTGTTTGGCTTTGGGTGTTTGGCCCCGGCCGGTGGGATGCTCCGGAGGGGAGGGGCTGCTCGGGAAAGGCGCCTCAGGAGATGTGTGGAGACAGACAAATTTTAAATTCCTTGTTCATCCTTACCGTCATTGTGTTCTGAGTGTCACCTAAAAACTATTAGGGGATTATTGCTTAAGAAAAGTTAATAATATAATGTAAGGTACAGCCCATAGAAAATAGGACATCTAACAAATCATCTTGGTTTTTTTCTTCAAAAAAAACCCCAGCAATTGGACAAGCCTACTCCAACTGTAGACTTAATTGAGAGCTAGCCAGCACAATGCAGCAAACCCCGGGAAGTGGGCATGTCGGAGTGCATGGGACTAAAAATCACGTGTTGGAGAGAAAAGCCCAATTGCAGTTAATCCTTGTGTTTATTTTATTCTGTAGGTACCTGCACCGCTTCCAAAACTTGTGATGCGTTTATAAAGCTATGAAGAAAATCCCTTGATACTGAAATTCTAAAAACACTCCGGATGCTTCTACATCAATCATCTGTTGTAAACCGGACAGCCTGAACAGCAAAGGGAGCTAAACTACGAAAATGTAACAAAATTAAGTGGTCAGAAAAGTGTTCTATTTGTGCTGAAGTAATATGCCATTTTAAGTCAAAGGTTATGGATTTTGATATCAGCATATGATTATATTATAAAAGTGTTTTAAAAAAATTCCAATTCTACCAGACGAAAATACCAATGCTGGGATTACATTGTTGAGCTACACTTTTACTTCTACATTTCATGTTTAAAACATTTTGAGTTCTACTTAAATACTTAATGTCTTGAAGTATTTTATTTGCTTGGAAGAGCTGCGAACACGCCCTGAGGTACCTGCCTGCGGTCTAGGGTGTTCCTGAGCTCTGGCTGCAGGAACGTGGGGTGCTGGCAGCTCTGCAACTGCCTTAACGGAGAGGCCGGGGGCTGCAGCCCCCCCCGAGCTGGGGGGGGACAGGGGGGACACCCGGGGCGCTGCCGGGGCTGGGAGCGGTGGTGACAAGCGCGAGCGGGAGCGGCTCGGGGCCGTCTCATCGCTGGTCGCTCAGGCCCTGCTTTCCACAGTGCGTGTATGGGTCTGGAATTTCAGTTCCATCTTGCCATTAATTAGACTGTCTTTATCATGTGTGTGGGGGGTTGTTTATTTATTAAAAAGCTGACCGTACAGGACAGGCACACGTGTAAATAAGGGATTGTGCTTATGTATATGTTAGTATTTATATGTAAAAAGATATGTACATAGGAAGGGAAAAAAACGGCTGAAAGAATGTTTTCAAAGCTGTTTCTTTCTTACAAAGGCACAGAGAGGAAATTCACAGCAACGTGCTCCTTAATTTCGACATAAGGGTTTTCACTCAATTTCCAGTCACTTTGCGTTTGGTCCCGCTGGGGTTTTGCTCGCTGGGTTTGTACCACGAGCCCTCACCCGCGGCCTGCATCTGCCCTGCAGCCCGTGCCACCCTTGCTCCGTGAGATGAGCTGTGTCAGGTCTCGTTTGCTGTCTTCTCGCCTCGGGGCCTTGCGCATCTTTTGCAAACACGGGCCCAAAGCCACAGGGCCGCGGCGGGGGGGGGGGGGGGGGTGGGGGGGCATTGCCCTAATCTGGGGCTGTCACCCCTCGGTGCGGGGGTAAAACAGCAGAGGAGAGGTGGGTTTGCAGCCTGGGGAGGGGGGACCCCGACCACCCTCAGGCTGGCGAGCTGCCCTACGGCACCTATAAACACCCAAAGGTGTCCCACCTGTGGGCACCTTCCCTAAATCCCCGCGGCCCCTCCAAGCCAGGGCAGGCCATGGGGCCGGGGAGCCGGGCGTGGGGCTGACACAGCCCCCTGGCCACGAGCCGCCGGCGCAGTGGGGCGCAGGGCTGCGGGTGTGCTGGCCGGGGGATGTGGGGTCTCTGCGGGATGTCCCCGGTGCCCGGGGACCCCGGGTGGGAACGGGGCCGAGCTGAAACCCCGCAAACCACGCCGCGCACTTCGGGCGCCTGCACGGCCGGGCTGGCGGGGGCCCGTGGCTCTTTGTGAAAGCGTTCTGCTCTAGAAATCTCTGTAGCCTTCAGTGTACCCTCGAGTGCCTTACACAGCTGGTGAGCAGACCTCCTGGCCGCGAAGGGGAAGGGGCCCAGCTCCCCGGGCAGCCCGGAGCCACGGCCCCGCGCCGGGCAGCCGCGCTACCGCGGGAACGGCTTCAGTTCAGACTCAGGAAACCGTATTGTGAATATGTGTATTCAACCCTGTACTTACCTAATGTACATTTTATAAAAAGGAACTATTGTAAACTTATGCAAAACGTAAACCAGAGAATATGTTTGGTTTGTTTTTTTTTTTTTGTTTTTTGTTTTTTTTTGTTTTTTTTTTTTTTTTTTCCAATGGCCAGTGTGCCGTGACTTGTGTTCTCTACCATAATCCTAACAACCATATCCTAAATAAGTAATGTTTGGTTCAGTGCTGAAACAGTAATTGACAGGCCTGAAGTAGGGCTGCATTGATCAATTACAGAATTTTACACATATTTTTGTATCGTGATTCATATGATATATATCAAGAGACTTTCTATTCATTTGTAAAATACATAAATTATTGTAAGCTTTTAATAAAAAGATCTGTTTTAAACCTTCGAATGGGGTAAATTGTCGTGGTACTTTCCCCAGGTTGCAAAAGGGAGGCCTTTGACCAGTTACTGTAACTTTGCTGATTTTTGTTTTGCAATGCAGTAACTTTTTAACCACTTTTTAAGCGCCACCTGAAAAACTGACCAAATCGTGAACAAAAAAAAAACAAACAAAACCAAAAACAAACAAACAAACACCCAGAAACCTACCCTGGCACACCCACGGCAGGGTGACTTCCCTCCTCCCGAGCTCAATATTCGCTTTTCCCCCATCCCCGTGGCCCCGGCGACCCCGGGCTCCCTCCCGCCTCGGCCAGCGGGGACCGGTAGCCCTCTCTCTGTGGCGAGTGCCCCGGGGCGAGCGGGCGGGGGGCCGGGGGTGTCTCCTTGGCGGGGGGCGGCTCTCCCGCCCCACCCGGCTGCCGGGCCGCGGGTGGGTGGCCGCGGGTGGGCGGGCGGCGCTTGGTCCCTGCGCGGCTTTTAACGCGCGTCTCGGCTCTCGCCCGGGCGAGCCGGCCGCGGGAGCGCAGCGGCACCGGGGAGGGAGGAGAAGGGAGGGGAGGGGAGGGGAGGGGGTCCCCGGGCCCCCCCCGGCCCGCAGCCCATGTCGGGGCGGCGGGAGGCGACGCTGCCCGCCTGCTTCGCGGGGCTGGGCGCGGGTAGTCCGCGGCCGCGGCAGAAGCGCGGCGGGATGTTCTGCAGCGTGGAGGACGCCTTCGACAACAAGACGCTGGACTTCGCCTCGCTCGGCGCCCCCGGCCCCGCGACCCCTGGCCCCGGGCTCCGCCACCCCCCCGGCCCCGGGCCCGCCGCCGCCCCGGGGGAGCCGCCGCCCGGCTGCCCGCAGGTGAGGGGGGCGGGCGGGGGGGCTGCAGCCCGGCGGGGAGAGCCCCAGCCCCGGCCCGGCGCCCTGAGCCCCCCGGGGCGAGCAGTGGCCCTCGCCGCTTTGCGGAGCTCCGGGCGGAGCCGCCCTGACCGAGACCCCGGGGGAGGACGGCCGGGGGTCCTGTCCCATCCCATCCCATCCCTTCCCTTCCCTTCCCTTCCCTTCCCTTCCCTTCCCTTTCCCTTTCCCTTTCCCTTTCCCTTTCCCTTTCCCTTTCCCTTTCCCTTTCCCTTTCCCTTTCCCTTTCCCTTCCCTTTCCCTTCCCTTTCCCTTCCCTTTCCCTTCCCTTTCCCTTTCCCTTCCCTTTCCCTTTCCCTTTCCCTTTCCCTTTCCCTTTCCCTTTCCCTTTCCCTTTCCCTTTCCCTTTCCCTTTCCCTTCCCTTTCCTTTCCCTTTCCCTTTCCCTTTCCCTTTCCCTTTCCCTTTCCCTTTCCCTTTCCCTTTCCCTTCCCGTCCCAGCCCCCCGGAGCCCCCCACCCGGGGAAGCGGCGGGAAGGGGCCGGCGCACCGGCCGCTTGCAGGGGACCGAGCGGCCGCTCCTCCTTCGGGGGGTCACAACTTCCCCCGGCCCCCGCCCCCGCCCGCGGCTGCCGGGCCGCTCCGGGCCCGCTTGGGGCTGCGGGGACCCCCCCGGGGGGCTCCGCTCCGTGTCCCCCCTCCCCCCCCGCCCGGGCTTTGTCTGCAGCGGCGGGAGCGCGGCCCCGGGCGGGCGGGCGGGCGGGGGAGAGGCGGGGGGCGCGCACGCACGCGGGGGCGCGCACACACACACACAGACACATCGACAGACGCGCACAGACACACGCGCGAACACACGCGGACGACGGCGGAGCGCGGCGGGAAGATGTCGCACCCGGGCAAGAAGAGCATCCCCCGCATCACGGTGAGGGGCGGGATCCCCCGGGGGCTGCGGGGCCGGGGCGCTGGGGACGGGGCTGCCGGGTTCCCCCCCCCCACACCCGCCGGCGGGGCCGGTGATGGAGCGGGGCGGTCCCGCCGCCCGTGGGGCCGGACACGCGGGGAGCGCTGCGGGGGGTGCTGCCCGCCGGGGCGTGTGTTGCCGAGGGCAGCGCTGTACCCCCCCCCCCAGCCCCCCGGGGGCGCACACCCCCCCGCCCCGCCGCTCCCTTTGTTGGCCGCGGCCCGAACCTCCCCCCCCCCCGGCGCCGGCGCTTTGTCCGGGGTCCCGCCGCCCCCGGGGGGCTGCCGGGGGACAAAGGCAGGCGCGACCCTCACCGCGGCGCCGGGGCTGCCCCGCTGCCTCCCTAACTTTCCTTGGGCGCTGTCTGGGAAAGGCTTTTTCCTTTTTCTCGCGGAATGGGTTTGCCGGAGTGGGGGGAGCCGCTGCTCGCCCTGTCCCAGCCGCCGGCCCCGGCTCCGCTTCTCCCGGGCGCGGCTCGGGCGGGCGCCGGATCGGGCCCCTTCTCCCGGCGCCGGGCTTCTCCGCGGGAGGAGGGAAATATCTCTAGAGAGTGATGCGCTTCTTCAGTGTTTGTTTTTCCCCCCCTTGTTTTGCTGGCTCATGGCCGAGTTCCCCCGAAAACATCCCGGTGGAGGGGGGAGCCAGTGACGAGCTGCGTTAGTGGGCTGCGGGGGGAGAGCTGGGGCGGCACGGGTGGGGGGGGGGATGAAGATGGGGTAAGGATGAGGATGAGGATGGGGATGGGGTGACGATGGAGGTGGAGTGAAGATGGGGTGAGGATGATGATGGGTGAGGATGAGGATGGGGATCGAGTGAGGATGAGAGTGAGGATGGGGATGGGGTGAGGATGAGGGTGAATATGGGGATGGGGTGAGGATGAGGATGGGGTGAGGATGAGGATGGGGTGAGGATGGGCCCCACGAGGGGAGGGACTGTAAGACTCTCCCATGAGGCACCCAACACAGACGCTTCTTTCAATCAATTTTGTGGGACAAGGAAAACAATAAAGATGCAGTAAAAGTCTTCATAGGTTTTAAAACACAATGCAGTTCTTTAATAGTTTTTTGGGGTTTTTTTATAGGCCAGTGATGCTCTTTAAAACGAGACCCCAAAATGTTTTCCAGGCTGTTTAGCATCAGCACACGTTGCTGTAAGTCATCTCCACGTGCTCTTGCATCCCTCAGTTGTTTTTGTGCTGAGGCCAAGCTCTTTGTCTTGCGCACTTTAGCCTTGGTAATCATTTTTCTACCACCAAAGAGCAGGAAAGGAACCCTTTTAAATCAGGCTGCAGTTCCACATTTACATAAATGCCACTGCTTTCTAATTTTTCTGGTTAAAGATTCTGCAAATCTGACACCTGTATCAGTGTCTTGCTTTGAAGTGAGGAAAGTCCTTGAGGCATTATATGCCTCCAGCTAGACTGTGAAAACAAACAAATGCCAATAAATTACCAGGTTAATAAGCTGCACTTTGAAGTGCCCGTAGCTGGGGCTGACGGGGGCGCAGGTCGGTGGAGGAGCTGCAGGATGGTGCCCTGCAGACCTTGAAAACTGCGGAGAAGCTGGGTCGATCCTGAACACACCCTGGGGGTGGCAGGTCAGAATGAGTAAAATAGCATCTAAAAAGTGTTGTGGTCTTTTTTTCTGTTAGAGTGACCAGCTTCTAATCAAAGGAGGAAAAATTGTCAACGACGATCAGTCATTTTATGCGGACATTTATGTGGAAGATGGTTTAATAAAGTAAGTTAAAAATTTATATTTCATAATACCATTTCCGAGCATGATACAGTGCCATAGAATTTGAGCGAGTTTCCTTTTCATCATTTTTCTCATGGAAATACATTCCCTTTTTGGAAAACAAGGACAGCTTTTTAGAATAGTGTCAAGCAAGAGCTAGATTAGTGCAGCTGTGCAGCTGGGAAGAGGTAGATGTGCTGTGCGCCCAGCGGTGAGCTGTGCGGGGCGCGCGAGGAGCCGGGGGAAGCGCTGCCAAGGCGCCCGGGGAGCGGTGCTGAGCCCGGCCTGGGGAGCTCGGCAGCTCCTGAGCCCAGCTGGGTCCCCGAGGGAGTGGGGGGCTGGCCCCAGGCTGCTGGGGGCGATGGAAATGGGAGTGGGGATGGGGATGGGCATGAGGTGGGAATGGGGATGGAGATGGGATGGGGGTGGGATGGGGATGGGGATGGGATGGGGATGGGGATGGGAATGGGGGTGGGGATGAGATGGAATGGGATGGGGTGGGAATGGGGATGGGATGGGATGGGGATGGAATGGGGATGGGGATGGGATGGGGATGGGGATGGGGATGAGATGGATTGGGGATGGGAATAGGGATGGAGATGGGATGGGGATGGGATAGGATGGGATGGGGATGGGGATGGGATGGGGATGGGATGGGGATGGGATGGGGATGGGATGGGGATGGGATGGGGATGGGGATGGGATGGGGATGGGATGGGATGGGGATGGGATGGGGATGGGATGGGAATGGGGATGGGGATGGGGATGGGGATGGGATGGGGATGGGATGGGGATGGGATGGGGATGGGATGGGGATGGGATGGGATGGGATGGGATGGGATGGGATGGGATGGGGATGGGATGGAGATGGGATGGGCCGGTGGGGTGTCAGAACCCGGCTCCACTCCCACAGGCAACCGAGGACGACGCGTCCCCCCCCGTGCGAGGAGGCCTGGGCAGTGCACGCGCGTGTGCCCGGTGGTGTGCCCATGAGCAGCGCTTCCCTGCATCTTCACTTGGAAGTTGCTGCCAATGAACAGGCGACCTTAATATCCTTTCCAGACAAATCGGAGAAAAGCTGGTTGTTCCCGGTGGTGTAAAGACAATCGATGCCTACGGCCAGATGGTGATGCCGGGGGGGATAGACGTCCACACCAGGCTGCAGATGCCCGTCATGGGGGTGACCTCTGCTGATGGCTTCTACCAAGGCACCAGAGCAGCCCTGGCAGGAGGCACCACGATGATCAGTAAGACGGAGCAGCGTTCCAACAGACCGCTAAGTAGAACTTTGTGTAGCAAAATGCACTGGGCCCCTTATCATTGCAGAGGTTATTTACCCTCATAGCAGGGAAATGTTAATATCTGCTGTAGAAATCAGAGCATTACAGACCTAATTAAAACGCATTATGTGCTTGTCAGAACCCCCTTCTGTTGCTACACACATATATTAAAAATGTATAGCTGTTCCTGCTTTACCTCATAAGAGAATAAAATAGAAGAACACTTTAAACAACTTTTAATATGTTTTTAATAGCTTTGCAAGTGTTTTCTTCTAAGAGTTTTTCAGCTTTGTGAGCATGGGTTCCATTTTTGTGTTAATGTAAACTAATTTTGATTGCCGTTTTGTTCTTGTTCTGGTCCCAAGGCCCACGGTAGCATGTGACTGAAGGACCAGTCTCAGCAAGTCCTGGCACAGCTCTGTGCCGATCTCTGGGGGGAATAGGAACAGAGCTGAGGGAAGTGCCTCGCTGGGGGGGCTGGGGGGGGGCTGCCTCTGGAAAATGCCCAGGGGAGCTGAGCAAAAATGTGCAAGGACGTGCTTTGGTCACCGGCCTCTCAGCTGCTGTGCTAGGTAGGCTGTATGGAAAAAAAGCGTAATAATACCCATAACTTGGAATTCGTTTGCTCCGTTTGTGTCACTTTATCCGGGAAGTTTATTATCCTTCGTCTTCAATCGACGCTATAAAAGTGAATTGGAATTAAAACGTCTCCTTTTCGCAGCAGTAAGGTCTTGCAGGAGCACGTTGGTGGCTGCTGCTCCCCCCCAGGTGTGTCTGCAGCCCGTCGGCGGGCGGGCGTGCTGACGCTGTGCAGTGTTTCCCCAGTTGACCACGTCTGCCCGGACACTGGGACCAGTCTCCTGGCTGCCTACGAGCAGTGGCGCGGCGCCGCCGACAGCCAGGCCTGCTGCGATTACTCCCTGCACGTCGACATCCCTCGCTGGCACGAAAGCCTGAAGGAGGAACTGGAGGCCCTGGTGAAGGACAAGGGTAAGGGCAGAAAGGGCGCCGTTCTGGCAACAACCCACGGCCCCCCACGTCGCGCGGGTTGCACAGGAGCGAGTCGCCGCAGGGTGAGCTCTGGTAGTTACGGCTGCTCCACCGTCCTCTCGCCCAGCGACAACTGGGGGTACGTGGAGGCTTGGAGCTGGGGCGGGGGGGGGTACGGACACCGGGGTCACGCCGTAACATCGCCGTCATGGGCTCTCCCCTTTGGGCCACGTGCTGCCCAGTCCTGATCGTCCTTTTTTGGAAACTAAAGGGATGGTATCGGGCGCCCTGATTCAGGCTGCCTGATGGGCAGGATAGGGAGGACCCGGAGCTGCTCGAGCGGGGCCAGAGGAGGCCACGGAGATGCTGGGGGGGCTGGAGCAGCTCCCCTGGGGGGCCGGGCTGAGAGAGTTGGGGGGGTTCAGCCTGGAGAAGAGAAGGCTCCGGGGGGACCTTCGAGCGGCCTCCCGGGGCTTAAAGGGGGGGCAGGAGAGGGGGGGGGGGACTCTGGATCAGGGGGTGGGGGTAGGATGAGGGGGGATGGTTATAAACTGCAAGAGAGTGGATTTAGGTTGGATTTAAGGCAGAAATTGTTCCCTGTGCGGGGGGGTGAGGCGCTGGCCCAGGGTGCCCAGAGCAGCTGTGGGTGCCCCCTCCCTGGAAGGGTTCAAGGCCAGGTTGGACGGGGCTGGGAGCCCCCTGGGCTGGGGGAAGGGGGCCCTGCCCGGGGCAGGGGGGGGCACTGGGGGGGCTTTGAGGGCCCTTCCAACCCCAGACAGACTGCGATTCTGTGATTTAAATAAAAACATTCAAGATGGGGTTTATAGAATGAAGCGAAGCTTTAGGTGTTCTGTAGAGATCTCTCTCATGTCTATAAATTCCTGCACATCCTGAAGTACCCGCTGAACACAGCTTACTGGAAAGCAGGTCATGCAGCAGGAATTCATGCATTTCATTAATAACTTATTACCATGGTTGGAACTACATTTTGCTTTCAGATATGCTAATGTAGAGCTAAATGACTTCAGCGTAATTTGCAGTCTTGCAAGCAAGGGCTTAATTGGTCAATTAACATAGAAATTTGCAGTGAATTTCCTATTAAAATACAGAGTAGCTGAAATAATGCAGCTATTTCAGACTTATACCGGGTATTTTTCATACGTATGTTCCCATGAGATGCAGTTTATTTGTAATTTGATCGTGGTTTGGGATTAGTTGCTGCCTCTATGTAAAATACAGTAGCAATTCTCTGGCTTTGACTTGGTGCTTCATGAATCATCTTTTACATTAGAAATACAGTGTGCAATGCTGTAGGCAAAGTGCTGCCCATCTATTTCTCTAGCTAAATAGCAGTGCATGAAATAACAGTGCTCTGATATTAGAGAGCCACACCTTTTGCTGTAATTTAGTCTTAGCAGGAATACATTAATTCAAAGAGAGTTATCAGAAAGAAGTTGGGGACAAACCATAAATTGAACCCACCTCTGGCAGGAAAACTCAGCTTGGGAGCAATGCATTTGATTCTGGGCATTCGGAGCAAATTAGGGAGAGTACCTAAAATCAGAAATGGACTGTGGGGTTTTCTTTTCTTGGTTCATCCAGAGATAGGGGTGTATTGTCTTTCGTGGCTTCTAAGCTTTGGGGTTCAGTTCTGGTAGGGGCAGTTCCCATTTCAGCCCTTAGCTTCGCTTTGCTTTCAGCCTAACCCTAGCCTAACGCCTAACACTAGCCAGCACAAGCCCCCCCGGTTCGAAAGCCCCCTGCTCAGCCCGTACCTGGTCTCCGAGTTCTCTGCTGGGACAATAAACAGACGTGTCGTTTTGTTTTTCCCAAGGTGTGAACTCCTTCCTGGTGTTCATGGCTTACAAAGACAAGCTGCAGTGCTCCGATGCGCAGGTAACGGCCGGCGTCCGCTGGAACTCGTCGCCCGCCCTCTGAGCACCAGCTGTGCTTTGTCTGACGCTGGGCAACCCCCCGTCTCTTGGCAGATGTATGAGATATTCTGCATCATTCGAGACCTGGGGGCCATTGCCCAAGTGCATGCTGAAAACGGAGACATCATCGATGAGGTACAGCATTTCTGTTCAGTTAAAGGTTGACGGGAGTATTTTGATTTAAGGCAAAGCGCTGGCGTTAGCGGATGGGCTGTCGTGTCCGGTGGAAGGTGGAGCAGCTTTTGGCTGCCCGTGGGTGCTGCCAATTCAGTGGGGATCGGTCCAGGTGGGAGAAGGGGCAGCTGTGACCCCTGGTTGCTCAGGGGGGTGTCAGTGGGGCATCACCCGCCCCCGAGCTCGCCCCGAGCTCCCCGGTGAAAGCAGAGCAGCACCTGGGGCCAGCAGCACCCTCCCAGTTCCTCGCACGCCCGTGGGCTTCCTCGCAGACACCTGCACAAGGACTGGTGAGTGGTTCCCAACAAGAGCCTTCTGGGCCTTCTTAAAGGGTGATGGACGGCCTTAAGTGATACCGTGTCACATTATCTATCTGGTTTAGAAGTCTCGAGTACTTGGGAAAATAAAGAGCTTTGCATCATAATGTACATTACACTTGCCAATATTTATCTCCAAAAACGGCACTCAGGAGCTTCCTTGGTATGGCAGTTTTTTCTCATGTACATTATTTTTCCTTTTTACCTTTAGAAAAGAAAAATCTTAGATAGATACTGCAATGAAGTGATGCAAGGTAGAATTAGACTTTCTGTTTCCTTCAAGCTTATGGTCGTGCAAGTGTTAGTGTTCAGTCTGGTGTGGAGGGCGAGTTTAAAACGAAAGCAGGAGCCCAATCCTCCAAATGAGCTTATTTGAACAAGCAGGGTAGAGGCTAATTCCCACCTCCCCGGGATTTTATCTGAGAACCCTTTTCTTCAGCTGGCTGTGAAACATAATGTGATCACAAGAAGCTCAGTATCTTCAAAAGTATTTCTTTAAACTGCCATCATGACGACACTCAGGCCCTGAGGACAAACCCAGAGGGGATGTGCAACAAGAATACAGAGAAATAAACATCCTCTAAGAGCAGGATCCTTTAAAGCCTGCGCGGTCTGGTCCGTAGACTTTAATAATGTCCCTGCGTCTAATGCCAGCTAAGCGGGAGCATTACATGATACAGAACATCACAGAAAGGAACGGGATGAGGGACTTGCTGCACATCTGCTTCCCAATGCAGCGTGAATAACCTGGGGGCAGCCCAGGGTTTGTTCCAGCCTCTGTCACCCTGGGATCCCAGCCAACATAGGCACCACATCCAGCCCAGCCTTGGAGGAAGCTGCAGTGGGTTTAAAATCCCACCCCCTCCAGCCCCGTGGCTGGGTTTGGAGTGGGGAAGGTCCAAAGGGGCTGTTGGGACACAGCAGGTCCCAGTCCAGAAATGTTTCCACAGCGTGAGGGGGGTCTACCCGGAGGCAGCTGCAGCACCTTGTGGGGTGTCGCGGGTGCAAGTGGCATTGCCTAGTCGGGTTCGGGGATCCCCATCACCCTGCAGGTACTGTGCAAAGGAGTTTTGTGTCCCGCGTTGCTTCTGTTCATATCCCTGACGGCTCTTTCGTTCACCTTCGTCCACCTAGGAGCAGAAGAGGCTGCTGGAGCTCGGGATTACGGGGCCAGAAGGGCACGTCCTCAGCCGCCCCGAGGAGGTAACGGCTCCGGCCCCTCTGCAGAGCCCCCCGGGGCTTTTGCGGCAGCAGGGGGGCCCCGACACGTTTCTGCCTGTGTTCTGGTGTCCGCAGGTGGAAGCGGAGGCGGTGTACCGTGCCATCACCATCGCCAAACAAGCCAACTGCCCCTTGTACATCACCAAAATAATGAGCAGAGGAGCAGCAGATGTCTTAGCTCAAGCGAAGAGAAAAGGTAAAGCGTTGGTTCGTATTTGCACATTAATTGAGCTGAGTATGTCCAGGAATATCATTGTAGCTGCAAGATTTGAGCACCCGTTATCACCCCAGGTCTATCACATTTTGCAGGTGATAAAACTTGGTGCTGTCTTTTCTTCACAGAGCGTGCCAGAGCTAATTGCTCTGAGCTGGAAAGATTGGAGGAGATGTGCTTGAAACTTTGACACCTGCATCTCAGTAGATGCACCTGAAAAATAAGGAAGTAATTCACTTGCAATCATTTGCCATGGGCTAAATGAAAAACGGGTGTGGAGCAAGCTCCAAATGCAAATTGGGGGTGGAGTGGGAAGGGCTGGGAGCAATCCTGCCGGGAGTAGGGCTGAGGGCCGTGCCCAGGGGCAGGCGGGGGTCCGCAGCCCCCTCTGCCCCCAACCAGGAGACTCTGCTTTGATTTAGGGGAAGGCGCGATGGTTTGTAGATATAAGTGTATGTTTGGTCCAAGGAGAAAATAAATAGGTTCAAAACTTGTTTTGACAGCGTTTCCTGGTCGTATGGGATAAACTGAGGGGTTAATGTGAATTTAAAAAGCTGAAGTAGTGGAACTGCTGAAGCTGAGTGAAACCATCTCGTGGCATTAACCGCAGTATTTGTCTGCAGCGTGTGAGAAGAGGCTGCGGGACACGCGGCGCGTTTGTGCTTATCAATTTCTTGCTCTGCAGGCGCGGTTGTGTACGGAGAGCCCATCACCGCCAGCCTGGGCACCGACGGCTCGCACTACTGGAGCAAAAACTGGGCCAAAGCTGCAGCCTTCGTCACGTCCCCCCCCATCAGCCCGGACCCCACCACGCCGGGTCATCTCACCTCCCTCTTGTCCTGGTGAGTCCTCGGGTGCCCCAGCGCGTCGGCCGTGTTTGCCTCCCGCCTGCATTGCTTCAAATGCCATTGACAGCAGCAGCATCGCCTGCAGAGCTGGGGCTGGCCGGGGGGGTCGCAGCCCCTGGCCTCCCCGGCTTGGGCCCCCCCCCCCCACCTTCAGCAATGGGTGACAGTCTCCCTGTTCCTGGGGCACCCCCTCTTCTCCCGTGCCTGGGCGCCGCAGGGTGCAGCAGCACAGCTGCACGTCAGCCTTCCCCTTGATCTTCTAATCAGAGTAGGAGAAATAATCAATCCTTGCTCAAAGTTTGTCGAACTTATGGAAAAGTTGTTGCACTTTTCCTTACCAAAAGAATAAATTTTGGGGTAAACTTTGAGCAAGGAGCTGGGTGACTCTTTCAAAAAAAATCTAAATTATGCTTTGGTGAAGCCAGGTAATAGTTACCAGATTTTCTGTGGAAAACTCGGGCTCACGCTGCCTGGTTTGCCCTCCGGGACTGGAGGGAGGGAGGGAAGGTGCAGCGTCCCGTGGGGTGGCCGGGACACCCCCAGGACAGCCCAGCACAGGAGGGACGGTGGCTGCTGCCGCCCTGCCTCGCTGCGTCCCGGGGAAGCCTCCTGCACGCCTTCAGCGTTAAAGAGAAGGGTTTTATCAGAAACAACACTGGGCATTTGCAAGATTTTAAAATGTGTGAGACATAAGCTTTTGGGGCACGCCGCTGTGCAGGGAAGCGCAAACCCCGTGTGCCCCAGCGGCTCCGCTGGCCGGAGCAGCACCAGGCAGCAAAGCTCCCCCTTAACTGCGGCTTAGCGTGGGTGCAGGTAGGAAAATCAGGTCCAGAAGGAATACACAAAGGATTTTTGAAATGGGATAAGAGACGTTTATGGATCTAGATAAATGTTAAAATTTGCATTCAATATATACCTTAAAGAAGAAATAAAGATTTCTTAGGATTCCCTGAAATGTGATTTTTTTTTTTTTTTTTTTTCCTAGAAGGATAAACAGTTGTTAACAAAAGTGTTTCATGTTAGTATATCTTACATAGTATATAAAGATATCCCAATGCATTTAATATTTTCTTAGAGGCGGCGGTGAAACGCAAGCATAGTTCAGTCTGGCAGGGCTCTGACCCAAGCCTGGAGCTGTGCTCCCCGGCTCCTCCAGCCCGTGCACGCTCAGCTCTCATCCTGCCCTGCCTGCCAGCACAGACCCAGTGCCCTCACCCGTGGTGTATGAGAGCACGTAACCTTTGGCTGTACCCGCGACCCGGGTTTATTTAACCATATCTTTGCTTTAAAAGAATCTCGCTTTAAAATCAACCTTGCTTGGCGAACCGTTTCCTAAAACAATTTGAGGTCCAAAAGGATGGTACAAGGTTAAAATGTTGGCTTACATAGTTAAAATAATCTCCGGTTTAGGAGAGAATATAAATAGTGCTTCTGTTTGCATCTCTGAGATGATTCCTGCGCTTAGTTCCTGTAGCAGTGAGCTGCCCCAATGTACCTGTACAAATTGCCTTTTAACTCGACTTCTGTTGGCATTTGCGGACCGTACGCCGCCCGCCTTCCCAGCCGGTGTTGGTGCGGCCGCTCCGTGCCCACCCGCCCGAGCACGGAGCCCACGAGCCCTCCTTGCCACACGCAGTGGGTGGCTTCTTCCCGCGGCGTCCCCGGGCAGGGGAGGGGACGCGGGGGACCGCCGGGTGCCCCCCCCCTGAGCTCCTGCTCCTCGCTTCGCCTTAGCGGGGACCTGCAGGTCGCGGGCAGCGCTCACTGCACCGTCACCACCGCCCAGAAGGCAGCGGGGAGGGACAACTTCACCCTCATCCCCGAGGGCACCAACGGCGCCGAAGAGCGGATGGCGATAGTTTGGGAAAAGTGCGTGGTAGGTACCGAGATCAGGACGACTCCTCGCGAGGCTGCGGGTGCGAGCGCACGTGAGCAGTGCTTGGGCTAGGCGATGTCGGCGTCCCCGTTAAATCAACGGACCGGGAGGGCTGATGTTGGCTGGAGTGCTCCTTCACGAGGAGGGAAAATGTGGTGCTCGCATGCCTTCGAAGTGCCTTCAAAGGCTTCGGCACCGGGATCGCCCGCCCCGCTTTCACTCAGTCACGAGAGAAAGTCTCTCCAGTGCGTTTTCCTAAGGGTAAGACGCGCCGTGCCCCTTCCCCGGTGCCTGCAGGAGGCCCGGGGAGGGGGCTGGGCACCGGGTGTCTCTCCCGTGGGGGCCGTGGCCATGGCCGTGCCTGCCCGGTCACCCCAGGCTCTGCGGAGCGGCACCCCAGGGGCACCGAGCCCCCCTCCCTGCACCCCAATATTCCTTCACCGAAATATCCTTGACCACCTTTAGTGAATGTGTGACGCCTGTACAGCTGGACCCCTCCAGTGAAGGTCTTGTTTTTCAGAGACCTTAAACTTCAGAGCCCGGGGAAAAGAAAACCCATCTATTGTATCATTTAGCCAACAGAAACAAGGCTCGGCCCCCCCCACATCTCCCTTTCCCCCCTAACTCCAGCCCTTTGTTAAACTGTGGATCCTCGCGTGGTTGGACTCTGCGATTTCTTCTCCCATCGTGGTCCTCCTTCCCTTCTCCTCCCCAGGTCCCCGGGAAGATGGACGAGAATGATTTCGTCGCGGTGACCAGTACCAATGCTGCCAAGATCTTCAACTGCTACCCCAGGAAGGGCCGCGTCGCCGTGGGCGCTGACGCAGACTTGGTTTTGTGGAACCCCAAAGCTACTAAAATCATCTCCGCAAAAACCCACAATCTGGTAAAATATTTTTAAAATTCTTTTCGCCATCTGGTTTTAGAGTCGGAAGAGAGCAGTAAAGCAAGATATTCCTTCGGATCAGGAAGATCAGATCATTCAGTGAGGGAGGAGCTGTTTATGTGGATAAAGTGAAAAAGGACCTTGCATTTGCTTTTTGAAATACAAGCAAGAGAAAATATCTGTTGGTTACTGTCAAGGGTAGGATTGTGACTGAGCAGCAGTGACTAGTCCGAGTCCAATGCATCCAATATGGACATTCTAAGATCAATCTATTCGCTGTGGACTAGAGAAATGTAAGTGCTGAACTCCTTCTAAATGTTAAACTATTAATCTAGGTGAATATATCAGCATCCTCCCCAAAGACCAGAGCTGTTCCCGTGCAGGCTCCGCGGGCGCTGCCTGTCCCCAGGGGTCACTCACACAGGAGAGATTCAGGTGCATTTTAACGGCATTTTAACCGTGGCTTTCCAGGCCATGGACATCCCCAAACTGATTTCTAACGTGAGCCTCAGACAGAACGCTGCAGTTGAACGCAAGAGGGGCGGGTGAGGTGTTGTGAGGAATGTTGGTGATAGAGCTGATTGAAGTTAATGTAGAACCATTTCGCCCAAGTGGTTTTTTTACCAAACTGTTTTTTATTGAAGGAAATTGTCACTATGATTGAAATATTCAGGTGTTTTCTTGAAAAAACAGAAATGGGTTTTCCTTATTCCAGAAAACTCACTTTTGCTTTTTTATAATCCCGCATTTTTTCACCGTAAACTTTGGTTTTTGTATAGTTTGTTAGTGACAATAGTGGAAGCATTTGAAGAAAGTGGCACAATTTTGCGTTTCACACAGAACAGAGCTGGCTTTCCATACCTGTTTTGGTAGGAGACTTGCAGTGACTTGGAAGAAACAACAAAAACCTCTGTCCCCAAACAGAGAGACTAAGCAGGGCTCGTCTGGGGCATAGAGAGAATTAATTGCTCACGTACAGTAAAAGCCTAGTTTGCTCCAGGGGTGCTCCATGTCTTTTGGGCAAGCAACAAGTGTTTTGAGCCTTTAGTTTCTCCATTCCAGTTTGCTTTAGTTCATCCAATTAGAAGAACCTTGTTGTTTGAAATAGGAAGGGTTGGTTAAGTACAACTGACGGTGCAGAAGGAGCAATGTACAAAAATGAGGGAGGGTGAAGGGGGGTTATAACTGGCTAGACTGTCACCTTCTCTTCTTAAATCTTAACCTTGTTGAATATCTTGGTTTGTTGTTTCCAGAACGTGGAGTACAACATATTTGAAGGCACAGAGTGCCACGGGGTTCCCACCGTGGTCATAAGTCAGGGAAAAGTTGTTCTTGAAGATGGAAACCTGTGTGTCACCCAAGGGTCAGGCCGCTTCATTCCTAGAAAGACGTTCCCCGATTTTGTTTATAAAAGGATAAAGGCAAGAAACAGGGTAAGGAGAATTTTATTTGCCTTAATCCCATATTTTCATTGCAATCTCTCTGCATTATTGTATTGCAGTCACTGCTATGGCAAGCCTGCTGATGGAATAGGCAACAGAAACAGGAATATCACTAATATTATTTCTAGGTCTTGGAAATTTATAATGTTGTCAAGGAACTGCTTTGGTGTGTGGCTTGGCACATTAACCAATAATGCCTATTTTGGTATTAGAGCTAATAGTGCCGGAGTTATTAGTATTACTTGCCTGTTACAAAGTTGCAGAGCAAAAATATGACTTCTGGCAAATTTGGAGGTGTTTGGTTTGTATTGAGGTAGAGGGGAGGAGTTCCTCTCCCAGCTGCATTAGAACAGTTTATGTTACTGTATTACCAGTGTCCGCGCTGCTCCTCTCAAAGGGCAACGGCTGCAGCGTTCTGTACTTGCTGGGAATACAAGAAGATGAACCCTGCAATGTGCTAGCACAGCTTGTTAAGGAGATAAAGACATGCAAATATTTTAAAAAGATTCTTAACAGCTCTGCCCTCCTCCCCTTTTCCATGTGTTACTTTAGACAGTTTCGTTATGCAGTGTAGATGAAGATAGAGCAGAAATCATTAACCCCAAATTACCTGCAGAGGCACCAGGGGCGCTGGCAGCTGCGGCAGGAACCCCCCGCTCCTGGGGTGCCTCTGGGTGCCTGGGGGTGCTCCTGGGGTGCCTCTGGGTGCTTCTGGAGTCAGGTCCCTGGGGGATGGGGATGGATGGGACCCCAGCGGGTCCCTGGGGGATGGGGATGGATGGGACCCCAGCGGGTCCCTGGGGGATGGGGACGGATGGGACCCCGGCGGGTCCCTGGGGGATGGGGATGGATGGGACCCCAGCAGGTCCCTGGGGGATGGGGATGGATGGGACCCCGGCGGGTCCCTGGGGGATGGGGATGGGGATGGATGGGACCCCGGCAGGTCCCTGGGGGATGGGGATGGATGGGACCCCGGCAGGTCCCTGGGGGATGGGGATGGGGATGGATGGGACCCCGGCGGGTCCCTGGGGGATGGGGATGGATGGGACCCCGGTGGGTCCCTGGGGGATGGATGGGACCCCGGCGGGTCCCTGGGGGATGGGGATGGGGATGGATGGGACCCCGGCGGGTCCCTGGGGGATGGGGATGGGGATGGATGGGACCCCGGCGGGTCCCTGGGGGATGGGGATGGATGGGACCCCGGCGGGTCCCTGGGGGATGGGGATGGGGATGGATGGGACCCCGGCGGGTCCCTGGGGGATGGGGATGGATGGGACCCCGGCGGGTCCCTGGGGGATGGGGATGGGGATGGATGGGACCCCGGCGGGTCCCTGGGGGATGGGGATGGGGATGGATGGGACCCCGGCGGGTCCCTGGGGGATGGGGATGGATGGGACCCCGGCGGGTCCCTGGGGGATGGGGATGGGGATGGATGGGACCCCGGCGGGTCCCTGGGGGATGGGGATGGGGATGGATGGGACCCCGGCGGGTCCCTGGGGGATGGGGATGGATGGGACCCCGGCGGGTCCCTGGGGGATGGGGATGGATGGGACCCCGGCGGGTCCCTGGGGGATGGGGATGGGGATGGATGGGACCCCAGTGGGTCCCTGGGGGATGGGGATGGATGGGACCCCGGCGGGTCCCCGGGGGATGGGGATGGATGGGACCCCGGCGGGTCCCTGGGGGATGGGGATGGATGGGACCCCGGCGGGTCCCTGGGGGATGGGGATGGATGGGACCCCGGCGGGTCCCTGGGGGATGGGGATGGATGGGACCCCGGCGGGTCCCTGGGGGATGGGGATGGATGGGACTCCGGTGGGTCCCTGGGGGATGGGGATGGATGGGACCCCGGCGGGTCCCTGGGGGATGGGGATGGATGGGACCCCGGCGGGTCCCTGGGGGATGGGGATGGATGGGACCCCGGCGGGTCCCTGGGGAAGGATGGTCTCCCCCGTGGCACAGCCCGGCGGTGGGCAGCCATCTCTGCTCCGTCTGTCGGTGCCCCATATTTTTTTAACATAAAGGCAGGAGTTTGGTAAACACGAGCCTGGGTGTGCAGCGGGCTGCAGTCCCTGCTGTGGTGGGACGGCAGCGGTGAGGGCTTGGTTTGCTTGGTTAATGAGTTTGGCATTTTGCAAACAACCCGGCAGCCGGCCCGTGCCAGATCTCCATCCTTGATTTAACCGGAGCTTTCAACAAAAGCTACGGTCAAAAAGAGCGCTGGAAGACATTGAGCAGGGTATTTTCTTCACGAGATATGCAGCACGATGAAGAAAAAGGTCATGTAAGAGAAAAATTTCTACAGAAAATGCTTTATATGTCTTGATAACCCATCACTCCGTGCCTTTTGAATTTGAAACCCAGCGCTTTCTGTCTTCAAAATGTGTCCCTTCCGACCCTGTGGCTGTCGAAGGGCTGTCACTGCTTCTCCTGGGGGGAGGAACAGCCTTTGGCAGGTCCGTGGTGAACCCCGGGGAACGAGGTCGTTAGGGCTTGGGCTCTGCCGTGAGCCCATTCCCCTCGCAGGCGGGGGTGACGGTCACACCGGGTGACACGGGCTGGGGCACCTCGCCGAGCCCCTTTTCGGGGGGGGGCAGGAGCTCTGCCCACGGGGTGCGGGCAGCATCCTTTGGGGGTGGGACGAGCCACCAGCTGCCTCCGCGCTGGGCTCTTTGGGGGTGCAGTGTCCCCCAAGCCCCCTCGGCTAAGCGGTTAAGTGCAGACAGAAGGAAGTTGGTCCCGGTTCTTGTTCGCCCCGGCTTAAAACCGTGCCTCACGCCTCTGCTTGCCCCCCCGCAGCTGGCCGAAGCCCGCGGTGTTCCCCGGGGGCTGTACGACGGGCCGGTCCATGATGTCCTGGCCAACGCCAAAGCCGTGGCCCCCGCCGCCCGGATCGCGCCCTGCGCCGGCAAAGCCCCGGCCCCCCCCGTGCGCAACCTCCACCGGTCGGGGTTCAGCTTGTCTGGTAAATCGGGGGGTCCCCTGAAAGGCGGGGGGGGGGGGCTGGTTTGCATGGGTGTCACAAAGTCCCGGGCTTGTGTGAGTGGCAGGGCAAAGCTGGGGAATAGAAACTTAATTTTTTTGCTCAGTAAAACACAATTCTTACTGTTGCAGCAGCCTAGGGACTAAATGCAGCGCAGAAATCTGTAGAATGTTTTACAGTGTCTGTGTAAAAGCGCTGATGGATGTCTATCACACAGCCTGGGGGGGGGGCGGGGGGGGAGTAGAGGGTCCCTGGAGGGTGGAGGCTGCTCTGATGAGGAGGAGGAGGATGAGGCTGGTGTCACCCTGCGCTGCCACGGCTGTCACGAGGTCGGGACTCCAGCCCCAGCTGCATCCCCTGCCACTCAGGGGTTAGATGTGGTTGGTTTTGTGGAGATTAACCAAATTAACTCCATTTTCAGGAACCAAAAAGGTAAGTTCTTCAGTCTTTACATTTAAGCAGGCAGTGATTCAGCATCGCTCGGCTCAGTGTCCTGCAGAAATCTGCCCGGCAGCTTTAGGGACCTTCTGACATAAAATGGCTTTTGTAATTTTCTTTTCTTAGCTGGTTGAGATCAGATGGATCACGTAGTGTTTGATAAATGTATAAGGCCCCACATTTTATTAGATAGAGACTGATTATTTATAGGAAAGCCACTTACAATGTTTTCCCATAAGAAGCGATAAAAAATATAGACGTTCGGGCAAATACAGCCATTCCAAACTGTGCCATGATAACACAGCGACCAAAACGATAGCTAACGCAAAAGCCTGTTTCCCACGCAGGGGCCGCTGTGTGAGTGTTTTTTTTGGACAGCGCGCCCCATGCCCGTCCTCTCCCCCAGGCTCGCAGGCCGACGACCACATCGCCAGGCGCACGGCTCAGAAGATCATGGCCCCGCCGGGCGGGCGCTCCAACATCACCTCGCTGTCCTGACGGGGGTCCCGTGTGTCCCCCCCCCCCGCCCTCCCCGGGGCCACCGGTGTGGCTGTCCCCACCCCAGGCACCGCCGGGGACGGTGGGTCACCCTCCAGCTCGGGATGCAAAATTAGTTAGTCATCAGCTGCCCCTTCTCGTAGGTAGAAAGTAGAGTGACCCCCCCCCCCCCCCCCCGGGGAGGTAGCGCTCCCCTCTCCACCCGCCCGCTCTGCATTTCGTCCCTGCCCCCCGGGATGCCCCTCTGCGCGCGGGAAGAAGCGGGGGGGCTGCGTTTTGGCTGGCAGGGCCCCCTGCCCAAGCAGCAGCGGCCGCCCTTCCCAGTCCGGAGGGCGTTTTAACCGCCCCCCGCTGCCGAGTCGCTGGGGTTTGGGCTCGGTGGCTGCGGCTCGTCGGCCCGCAGAGCCAGGCATGAGCGTGCCCGTCGGCGGGGCCGTCGGGCAGGGCGGCTGTGCGTCCGTCTGTCCCTGCCGCGGGGTGGGGGCCGGTGCTGGCGGGCGTGCCGGTGGTCGTTCTGTTCCGCTTGTTTTTTAAAGATTATTTATACACCTTTTCAAGAACCAAGTGTAAGTCTTAGAACCAATAACAAGGCTCGTTTGAAGGCCAGTCGCATATGATAAACTCTTTTATAAAGGTTATTATAGTCTGTTTAATATATTTAAAGGTATGTATAGTGAAGGTGAACCTCTATGCCACAAAGCTATGCATGTACCTCCAGCAGAATGGCTCGCCGTTCCTCTTCTGTTCCTTGCTTTGAGTAAAGTTTGTCGGAAATCATAAAACTGTAGAAGCGGTTGATCCATCTGAGTTGATGTTTGTGTTTTCCTCCTTTGGGTTTTCATGCATGAGGGTTTGCAAAATCAATTCACGCCGTGTAGGTTCCTGCACCCCCCTTTGATGAGGAGCCTGTCGGGGGTGCTCGCTCAGGTTGGGGGTCACGCAGCTGGCCTGCCCGCCGAAAGCCCTCGGCTTGCAAACGAAGCTCAAATTCCGGGAGGGCGGTTTGGTTGTCCCCACTGGGTCGGCACCGCGCTGCGGCCCGTGGCCGCGGGGGCAGCGCCGGGGTGCAGGTTTGCCTCCCGCTTTGGTTCCCAGCGCTGGCTGAGAGCGGGGGGCAAGAAAGGGAACACAAGAGGTGGGGGAACACGAGGAAGCGTCGGCTCCCAAGGTGGAAGCCAGACTCGTATCCAGCGGCAGCTCTGGACATACTAGTTCAACACGAATGAATGTATTTAAACCAGGAAGGGATTTTTAATATTTTTTTTGGTGGGGTTTTTTTGACTATCTGATCTGATCTACAGCTCATAGAGTAATGTAGTGATCTCTAGTAATTTCTGCACCAGAGATATATGGAATGCATTTGTTCTTCTATTTTATATTTCATTTTAAACAAATCATTTAAAGTCACTTGTTGGTTTTCTCTTTTTCTTGTGATTTCACCAAGACTACTGAATATTTATTTTCTTTCTAAATACAGTTTTAAAGTGATGGCAGTGAAAACTACATAACGAATGGGAAAGATCAAAGTTCCAGTCTGCTGGCAGTGACCGCTCCCAACTGCCCAGACATCCATGGGGGGACAGGGATACCCCCAGCTCGGTAGCACTCAGCAAGGGAAGTTCTGTGAGCGCTCTCCTGGCAATATCCCTTTTCCAACAGTCTGGCTCGTTGGTGAAAAGGGTGGTGGGAAGCCCAGCCAGCACCAGAGGCACCGGCCCCTCGCCCGGCATCGCCCTGCAGAAGTGGCTCTGGTCCCTCCAGCCCCCGCGCCAGCCGAGGGCTTGAGTCCCCCTTCCCCACGGAGGGAGGCTCTGCAGGTGTTTCCTCGTGGGGGATTGAGGCAGGGGGACAAGAGTGTTTCTGCAGCTCCCCCCGTGCTGGGAGATGCCGGGCAGAGCCCCGGCAGAGGAACCACCCGGGGCACAAACACCATCTCTGCTTGGCCTTAATTCCTTCAGACAGCTTTCCTGCGGGCTCCGGGTCGGGCACACCCAGGCTGCCGTGGTTTGAGCCCAGGAGGCAGCTGAGCACCACGCAGCCGGTCACTCACCCCTTCCCCCATCACGAGTGGGAAGGAGAAAAATGAAGCAAAATGGCTCGGGGGTGCTCACCCTTCACAGGCAAAAGACAGACTCGTTAGGGGAAGAAAAGAAAACCTCGCTTTAATTCAAACACTAACAAAACCAACAACAGAGCTGCAGCGATTCTGGTGGTTTAAGTCTTTCAACTTTTCCACCCGCCGTGATTAAAGGGCTGCGTGGGGGGGAACTGGCCTCCCCACTGCTTTCACCTCCCCCCCTCCCCGTACAAGGGGTGAGTGACTCGGCTTGCCAGGCGCCCCGTGTGCCCCTGGCCCCCCCGGGGACACGCAGGGACGCTGGGAGGGGTCACAGCAGAAGCACCAGATCAGCCCCAGCGAGGTCGGGCTCTGCAGGGAGAGCCACGGCTCCTACCGTGCTCGGCCTCGGTCCTTTAGCGCATCTCCTGAAGTCAGGAGGAGCCTCTGCAGGTGCTCTCTGCACCGGGATGAGGCGAGCCAGCACACTGCGCCCACAACCATAATAACTAATGCCAAGTACTGATGAGGGATGAAAGAGAAAAAAAAAAAAAAAAAAACGGAGACCTCCTGAAGTTCCCTGGGGCCGTTTTTATCGAGTTTAAGATACAAAATCCGGGGCTGTGCAGTGAATCACTGAACAGCAGCGAGCCGCAGCGGTCGGTGCCTGGTCCCTGCCAGGGGCATCCCGCCCGGCCCTGCCCGCTGCCCCGGCTCAGCCCTGGGCACCAGCCCTCTATTATTTTATAATTATAATATATAATATATATTATATTATATATATTACATATTATATATTATATATTATATTATATATAATATATAATATATATTATATATTAAATATAATATGTAATGTATATATTATAATTATAAAATAATATAATATATAATTATACATACCCTCTAGCTGGTAAAACCGGAGCTGCAAAACCTCTGGATTCAGCTGGTCCCCTCGTAACGCCTGTTTTGCAATTTTTAAGGCGCTGCGTTCCTGCAGCTCTCGTCCCACCCCCGGCTCTGTGTCCCCGGGGGGGCTCCGGCTGCGCTCAGGAGGTTTTGGGGGTGCTGATGGTTTCGTGGCTCACGCCTTCACACCCCCCTCGTCACCACCAGCCGCCAGCTTGGCCCTTTGCTGCAGAGGAACAGCTCCCGGCGCAGCGGCGCGTCCTGGCTCCCACACCCGCCGCTGCGCCGCGGATGCTGGGCAGCTCCTGTCCGCGATGGGCAGACAAGAAATGTCGTTTTTAACATCCACTTTTCATAAGAGTCAATGTTGTTTTCTACACAGCAATAACCTAGAAATGACAACAAATACTTGGCAATGTTAAAAATACACATTTATTACTCCACATACGCAATGGCTTCTCGCAGTATCTGCAAAAACACGAACTTGTCATAACTTAAATATTCTGTGACATGGTAAAATTTTCATGCAGTAAAATTACAGAAATGTATTAACGTAAAATACAGATATAATTTACATATATTTCCACTGAAATCATTTTAAAAAAAATACCCTACCAAGGCATGAGGATTTCAGCACTGTCCAATGTCAGGTTCCTATTATTGGCCTTTTTGCTATTATTTTATTACTCTTATTCTCTTTTTGGCAAGGTATATAGTAATAAAGAATTGTCGACAGAAGAAACATCAGGACTTGATCTGGCATTTGTTTTCTACGCAAAATTCCCAGTGAAGTCTGTGGAATTCAATGGAAACACTTAAAGATATGCAACTTTGCAAAACTTCGTAATCTAACAGAGATAAGAAAACAATCTTATGGCAAGGAATTTAAGGAGAATAATTCATAGGCGATGTAGACTTTTCACAGCGAATGATGGCACGCCCTGTATAAATCTGTCATACAAAAAATACATGTATTTAAATATTTATATACAGAAAATTATTGTATTCTGGTAGTAGCGGAGATGTAAACCAGAGCTGCGACTGACGCCTTTCCAGCTCTGCGTGTCGGGAGCATTTCACGGCTTCACTGCGAGTTTTCTCCCGTGGAGCCGAGCGGCTCCGAGCCCCTGGGCACCTGTTTCCTATCGGTTTTCCCATTTTCCAATTACACTTTTCTTGGAATTTCTTCACCGGGGACTGGGCATAACCGGGCATCACTAAACCTGGTCCCCAGTGGGCACTGGTGAAGTTGTGCCCATGCTTTACTGGAGATCAACCCCCAGTGCTTCGGTTGTATCGTACTCACGGTGTCCCTCCTACTCAGCCCAACGGTCCTAGAGGTGCCTCCTGTCGCTTTTTGCACTGATTAAGGTTTAGAACTAGACTGAGGCAGAAAGCGGCGTTTCCCCCGGCGCGTCCCTGGAGGTGTGCTGCCAGAATCTGCCCCAAATCACTTCCCGGACAGCCAGAATCTGCCCCAAAACAATTCCCCTGGCAAGGAGCAATGACCTGGTGTCTCCCAGCAGCTTCCCCGCTTTCCGCAGGGTGCTGCTGAGGGAATTTTGCACAATTTACCCAGGAAGGGCAGTGCTGAAAAGGGAACATAAATGACAGACACGGAGAGGGTTTGGGGTGAGAATCATCCATTTCAGAAGTGAGCCAGCTCCCCCCTACGCACACCAACCTCGAACTGAAGGGCCGTTTGTCACTTGTCCTCCAGAAAGCGATAAAAACGCCCGGTTAGACACGGCCCAGCAAACTGCCAACATCTCCCCTGGCCCGAGAGCTTCTGGTTGAGCAGGATCTATCTGCGTCTCTCATACACAGGACGGTTTGGTCAAAAAGTAAGTTACACTCCTTGTTGTTCTGATAGTCCAAACTTTTGTCATTATTTACAGAAAGATGATAAATAGTGCAATGGAGTTTACTGAAAAAACCCGATCCATACCAGTGGTGCAAATCACCCGTAATTTATAATTCCTGGGTCAATACATGGTTTTGCCCCTGGTTCTGCTTCTCCTGCCCTGCCCGTGCCCCGGCAGGCGGGCGGTGGGTTTCGGGCCCCGGGCAGAGCAGGGTTATCAGACTGCTCTGCTCAGCCCCAGACCAGAGCCGGCCCTACGTGGTTTTGTGACTCGGGATTAAAGCGTCACCCCTGCGCTGAGCCCCTCAAGGCACACGGGGAGCCAGGACAAACGCGGGGGGGGGCGCGGGGGACGTGGGGGGTGCGCGGAGAGCGCGGGGGCGAGGACCAGGCAGAGCTGGGGCTGCTCACCGGCCACCAGCGGGGCCCCTCCGCACACACACTGGTGTGCAGGAGAAGGTCATTAGGGGAGTAGGGTAATTAGATTACCCTGGTACCCAGTAATCAGACTGGAGGCAGCTTGGGGGCAGAGAGGGCAGGACCCCCGGCGCAGCCCGCGATGGGAGCCGGGGGGTGGGTGCCCTCCGGTAGCTGGGGCGGAGGAGCAGGGGAGGGCATTTATTTCAGTCCCCTGCTCTCGGAGCGGCCGCAGCCCCCTCAGCCCATCGTTAACGCAGCTCCTAACGAGGTGTGACCCGGCTCACCCGCCCCCGGCCTGAAATACCTCTGCGCCCCCTCCGCCAGCTCCGGCTCCCCGCCCCGCGCAGGCACGCCCCAACGCTTCTCCTACAGACTGCTGCGAAAGTTCGGTTCTGCAGAACTTTAGCCACGTACTAATTTCCACATAAAACTGTGGAAAATAAAAAAAATAAATGCGCCGTGTCATTTTCCATCTAAAATCGTTTCGTACCAGTTACGCCTTTCTGTTTTATTCGCGGAAACGAAAAACGCAACAAAATTTGTCCTGAAAGAGTCTGCATCTGTTAAAAACATTTTCTACCCAATTTTGCGTTACGAATATACAGTGAGGGTGCGAACCCTGCAACCTCCTCATGTCTGACAGCAAACAGATGTTGATAGTTTGAAAGTGAATGCAGCCCTAACGACACCCCTGTGTATCACAACAGCCGTACGTTGCAGCGGAACCCATGGCTCGTTTTTAGCAATAGTAACCAAAGCCACTCTACAGCAGATTAAGCAACTAAGATAGTGAAGGCTTCTGAAACAAGAAGAAAGGCAATATCCACAGCTGGAACAAGTTAAGGAGATCTCCCGTCTTAGTAACAAGTTAAACCAGGTATTGGTAAATTATGTACAGTACTTTTACTTCACACTGAAAACAAAGTAAATCGAAGGGTGAAATAAGATATTCCTGTCTTTCACAACCAAGCAGCGCTGCGAGGCCACCCGCTTTGCCCCCAATAAAATCTGAACCTGTGATAAACAGCGTCCTCCGAAGCCGGACAAACAGAACCAAACCCTCCGGCCCATTCGCACAGCGCCTCGCCACTCGCAGCAGCTATGTGAAGAAAGCAAACGTTTTAAATACGTTCTGCATCTCAGTGACACGGTTAATCATTACCCAGCCCCTCAAGAATTCATGGAGTGCACAAAAAAAAAACATTTATTTGCCCCGAGCCGGGAAAGAAACTCTGACAGGTGACGAGAGGACAGGGACGTGCCCGGGACGTCCTTACGCTGCAGGACCCAAACAGCTCGAGGCTCCCAGGAGGCTGGTGCTGCCCGCCAGAGCCCGGCGCGGCTCCGACTGACACGGGGGATTGCTCGTCCCTGCGGCAGCCTTCACAAACCGGGAACGCCAGCGTCAGACCGAACCCACCCAGCCAGCCTTCCTCCCTCGCCACACCCGCTCGGTGTCGGCCCTTGCTGCACCCAAGGACGGCACTTCTCGTCTCGTCATCTTACTGTATTAAAAACATGGGCAGATCGGCAATCTGGCGTTAAAAAAAGAACAAGGAAAGAAGTCGATCTCCCTCCTCCGACAAGTTGCATAGCAAGTACCTTTACCCACGACAGGCAACCAGCGCGCCGAGCCGGCGAGCCGATAAATCCAGGGATGCGGTTCGGTAAGAGCTGTCTCTTTTGCTACAGCTTTGCAAGACCAGTCGTCGGTGCCCTCCGGCGGTGTCGGAGGACGGCTTGTGGTGCTCAGCGCAACCTGAGAACGGGTTTGCGGCGCGGCGCGGGCCGGCGACCCTCGCCCGGCGGCTGCAGCCTAGCTGCTGCCCGCGGAGGAGCAGACGGAGCTGCACATGTTCAAGTTGGAGGTTTCGGACTCGGCCTCCGTCTCGGCTTCGTCGGTGGTCTCGGGGGGGGACACGGACTCGCTCGGCTGCTCTTGGCTCTTCTTTAGCCTGTGCGGAGCGGAGGAACCGGGCGTCACCCCCCGGGCCAAGCGGCACCCCTCGAGGGCAGCGGCTGGGGAGCGCGCCGCGCCACCTTCCCCCGAGCCCGGAGCCCGGCGCGGCCAGCCCTGCCCGGCCACCCGCACAGGCTGAGGGCAGCACGGGAGACACGGGGATGGCAGGGGAAGGGCTGTTCCCCACCGAGCTGTCGCCACGGGGCAGGAGGTGATGCGCAGGAGAGAAAAGCTCCTGCCCTGACTCTCCTTCTACCTGCCCCTCGCTCAGGTCTGGGGGCTCCGGAGCTGTGTGCTGGTGAGAAGCTTCTGTCTGACACCCTGGGAGGGCAGTGAGGACACCGGGTGCCGCCATCATCATCATCATCATCATCCTCATCATCATCATCACCATCCCTGCTGCTCTCAGGGCGGGGATGGCCTGACCTCGCTGTGGGGAACCGCACTGCTCCCCTTATGCCGGGCTCAGCGCCCGCGCCGGGGAGCGGGGAGGGTGGGCAAGGCGCGATTGCTCTCACAGCCCCCCCGGCACCCTGCCCACCCCCCGACCAAACCGACCTGCCACGCACCCACGGCGAACGAGAGGAGGCTTTCCAGAGCACACACACAGCACACAGAAAAGGTCACGGCAGGGACGGACGCCTCGCAACGCCGAAACGCTCGGAAATACCCCGCGACGACCTGGAAGGCTTCAGCTCTGCGGCGCGCTGAGCCGGGCCGGGGGAGCGGGGTCCCCGCCACGCACCCCTCCCCACGGCACCGGCGTGTGTGGACACGGCGCAAAGCAGCCGCTTCCACTCCAGCTGCCCACTCCTGCCCCGCAGAGATTGTAGCACGCTCCTTGCCTTTCCTTTTCCAAAGCATCATCCTCTAAAAGCAGGAGGGGCGAGAAGACCCAACGGGGGAACTGATACACTGTCACATACATATGTTAAAACCCAGAAGCCTCTCTGCAGCATATTCTATTTAATGGCAGTGATTAATAAGCCCTGATCTTCTCTCCCTTTTTGGTCAGAACTGCTTTTCATACAGAGGCAGCACCGGAGCTCCTCGGCTGATGTGAGTCACCCAGGGCTAAGCCGGCAGCGAGATGCTCCCAGCCATCAGCCACTGGCACTCTGATTCCTAAGGGAAGTTGGGAAAAAGAGTATTTTTTCCTTAAAGAAAAAAAAAAAAAAACAAAACCCGCATACTCACTTCTCTCTGTTAAAGATGACAAAGTCTTGCTGGATAGCTTCAAGGCATTCTTGGAGATAGTCATTTTCCTGTTGAAGAAAAACAATACATGCATAAGCAGAGCCATTTGCATCTCATTGCTGCCTACAGCATCGCAGGCTGCCAGCTGTACGCTCAGAGCCTCCCGGCCACCGGGACCTGCAGCAGCAACAGGGGATGGATCCGGCACAGCTGATTCCCTTCGTGGCTTTCACCAGGGGCTTGCCTCATCTGCGGCGAGCACAGCTTTCCATAAAACACAGAGAGCACGCCGCTTTCCGGATAAACACAGCACATTTATCTGTGTATTCTGCTTTAGGGAGCGCTATCTGCCCAGAGGAAGGAAAGCCGGCGCGGGGGAGAGCGCAGCACAAAGCCTGGGGGTGTGAGTCCATGCAGGAGCGAGGCACGGAGCTGCTGCCGTGCCCCACGGATGGCCCCACGCGTGGGCACGCTGGCCACGCGCACGCCGGGGAGGCCGGCGGCACCCGTGGGGCAGGAGGGAAACGCGGGAGTGTGGACAGCCCACGCTTCCCCATTTCTGCCTCTGTTTTACCTCGGGCACCGGCTCTGGTGCCGAGACCTCCCCTGAAGCCAGCTGCTGCTGCTGCTGCTGCTGCACGGCGCCGCCAAGGGAAGCCCGTGCCCTGCCCTGGCAGAGCCTCCTGTCACCCACTCGTGCGCCCCCGCCACGGCCCTGGCGAGGGACGGGCTCCTGCCCGGCGCCTGGCTGCCAAACGGCCGTGGGTCCCCATGGCCAAAGTGCCCTCAACCCTCCTGGCAGCAAAACCTGGGGGAGGCCTTGGCAAATTTGCTTATTCTGTTGGGTTTTTTTTATTTTTTTTTTTTTTTTTTTTTCCCTCCCTTGCTTCCCGATTTATCCTTCATCCTCTTACAGTAAGTCTCATTGATCGCAGCATTAACTCCCGCCGAAGAGGGAAGGGATCCATTGCAGTTAATTGGTGCCGACGACGAGACAGGCACAATCCTGCCGGGTGCTCCCTGCCGCTCTCAGGGCGGGGATGGCCTGACCTGGCTGCGGGGAACCGCGCTGCTCGCCCGTGCCGGGGAGCGGGGAGGGTGGGCAAGGCGCGATTGCTCTCACAGCCCCCCCGGCACCCTGCCCCCCCCGACCAAACCCTGTTTTCGGCAGGCCGCGTACCCGCTCTGCTGCCTCAGGGGATGGTTTTACTCCTGGGACATGCCTGCTCTGCAAAACCGAGATTCTTCCATTTGTCTCCCCAATGATATAAAAGCACCGTGGCTCCCAGAGCGAAAAGAAGAAACAAACGCATCTCATCTCCAGCTTGATTTCCCAGCTAATGGCTCCCTCTCTGCAGAAAGCACCAGCGGGCAGGGTTCTCCCGCGCCGTGGTGCCAGCGGCACCGCCGGCACTCGCCCCGGCGTGGAGCACGGCTGCACAGCTCACACGGCAAGGGGAAACATGGGGCATCCCCCAAACCAGGACTGGCTGGCTGGACGTTTCTGGCGCTTGGGTAAGCCACCACCGTGCGACCCCACCGGGAGCAGTCGCAGGCGCTGGGCAGCGCTTCTCAGAAGGGGGAAGATCCTATAGATGTATTTATATATATATATATTTTTTTTTTTTTTTTTTTTTCAGTTTTTCTCTTGACCGGTGTGCCCAAACCTCTGTTCCTCATTTAATTTTCCACAGATTACTGTGAAAGAGTTTTACCAAACTTATGTAAGAGGAACGCTTCGTTGTCGGGAAGACCCCACTGGGCAAAGGTTTTCATCAAAATAAACCTGCCGTTGCTGCACTGCCGCGGGAACTGCTGCCATGCACCCCAGCCTCAGCACCTCAGCCCCTTCTCCCGGCTGGCCGCTACCCCGGGAAGCACTCACGGACTGTGAGCTGTCTTTGCTGTTATCCCTCGACTTGTTCTTCGCAAGCCTCTTCTTCTTCTTGTGCAAGGGCCTCGACTCCAGGATCATCTCCTCCAGCTCGAAGGTGGGGTCGCAGTGCAGGCGGCCCTTCTGCCGGGACACGCGACGCGACACGCGGGCATTAGCCGCAGCCCAGACTCTCCCAAACACTCAGAACAAAATAGCTCGGAAGCGACTTCTCTGTCAGAAAGCCTCTGCTGAGCGCAGTGGTTCCTCTGAGGAGGAGAAGCGGCCCCTGCTCGGGGCCGGGACACAGGCAGCTCCTACTCACGTTGGGGACGAAGCCCGGCTCCACTCGCTTCTCGCCGACGTCGCTCCAGACCACCCCGGACAGGTACGCCGAGGCCTGGACGTCGGCCAGGCGGGAGAAGCGATGCTCGGGGTTCACCGTCAGCAGCTGGGGAGAGGAAAGCATTCCCGTCAGAGGAGGAAGAGGAGCCGGGCAGCATCCTGCCCTTCGGGTGACTCAGGTGGCTCAGCCATGCGGCAACCTTTCCGTCACGGGAAACAGCGTAACTTACTGGCGGGGAAAAAAAAAAAGAAAATTAGAAAAACGTCCTGGAGGTTGTGAAGCCAGACGGCCAAAAATCCAGTACCGTGAGCTCTCGGGCCGGCGCAGGTCTGCTCTCCCCATGGCTAACCACGACCTACCACAACCCTTCACCGCAGCACCCGGGCACTGCCGCTCCGTGCCGGGGCCAGACCTCGCTCCCTTCTAAAGAAAGACGTTGATTCCCCCCGGGGCTCAGCGCTTCGGTTTCAACCTCCACATTTTCACGCCACTTCTGCGACACCAGGGGATACTACTCTGTTTATCACACACAGGGATTACTAAGCGCAGAGAAAAAAAAAAAATGATTGCTTGATCCACTGAGACACCGGTCTGAGGACAGATCTGGTTTTTCAAAGAATTCTGCACCGTGTACCATGCTGTACGCCCAGCTGACTGGAGTTACAGCTTCCAGGACTGCTGGAGGTACATCTAACACGGAGATACGTCTGACCTGGAGGTACATCTAACATGGAGGAGTGTCTAACGTGGAGATACGTCTGAGGTGGAGGTATATCTAACGTGGAGGAGTGTCTAACGCGGAGGTGCACCAGACATGGAGGCATGTCTGACATGGAGGTACACCTAGTGTGGAAATTTGTCTGACGTGCAGATACATCTAATGCGGACATATGTCTCACGTGGAGGTAAGTCTGATGTGGAGGTCCATCTAATGTGGAGGTGCATCTATCGTGGGATCTGGGTAGGTCTTCCAGGGAATTCTGTGCCCAGCTTCCCCCTGCGAAAACCTTCACAGAAGCTCTGTTGATGCCACCTCTGCAGTGCATCCGCAGAGCCCCGTGCGCGTCCCTCCCCTCCCAAGCGTGGGAAGCTCGTGGCAGGCGAGTTGTGCCCACCCTCGCCCCTCTCCAGGAGCCGGCCCCCCTGCCTGCCCGTGCCGCTGGGGCCGCACCCCCCGCTCCACACCAGTTCTTGCCATTTTTCCAGAGCGCCCAGAATTTGAAGCCTGGCCTCCGGCTGTCCCAGCTTGGTTTTGGGCATCTGCAAACTGAGCGCGTACGCTCTCCCAGCTGATGGACGCCTACGGTAGGACCTCTACAAAATCTCCATCTAGGACTGTTCCCTTTGAAAAGCTGCGGCGTAATTCTAGGCACGCTAATTATAGGTGGTTACAAACTTTTGGCAGAAAATAAAGTCAGCACTGAGTATTTTTCCAGTGCCAAAGGTAACTATTCAAGAAGCAGGTAACGGCGACTGTACTTACAGCCCGCCGAGCACCCAAGCACAGGGATGCTTGTGAGGGGCGTGGGGTAAAAGACAACCCTGACCAGCAACTGCCACCTGCGGAATTTTTCAGGCACTTTTTCACGGCATAAAATTATCTTCATCTTTAAAACAAAAAGGGGGCAATTCCCAATTCCCAAGTAAGGCTGTGGTGACAGCACCAGCCCGGTGGGAAGGAGACATGGGGTGTTGATGCCAGCCCAGGGTGTGGGAGTGGGAGCTGGCCCCGGCTGGCGGGTGGGCAACAGGGTGCTGGCATCACCCCTGGGTGCTGGCAGTGCCCCTGGCATCACCCCTGGGTGCTGGCAGTGCCCCCGGCATCACCCCTGGGTGCTGGCAGAGCCCCCCAGCATCACCCCTGGGTGCTGGCAGTGCCCCCGGCATCACCCCTGGGTGCTAGCAGAGCCCCCCAGCACCACCCCTGGGTGCTGGCAGAGCCCCCGGCATCACCCCTGGGTGCTGGCAGTGCCCCCGGCATCACCCCTGGGTGCTGGCAGTGCCCCCGGCATCACCCCTGGGTGCTGGCAGAGCCCATGGCATCACCCCTGGGTGCTGGCAGAGCCCTCAGCATCACCCCTGGGTGCTGGCAGTGACCCCGGCATCACCCCTGGGTGCTGGCAGAGCCCCCGGCATCACCCCTGGGTGCTGGCAGTGCCCCCGGCATCACCCCTGGGTGCTAGCAGAGCCCCCCAGCATCACCCCTGGGTGCTGGCAGAGCCCCTGGCATCACCCCTGGGTGCTGGCAGAGCCCCCAGCATCACCCCTGGGTGCTAGCAGAGCCCCCCAGCATCACCTCTGGGTGCTGGCAGAGCCCTCAGCATCACCCCTGGGTGCTGGCAGTGCCCCCGGCATCACCCCTGGGTGCTAGCAGAGCCCCCCAGCATCACCCCTGGGTGCTGGCAGAGCCCCCGGCATCACTCCTGGGTGCTGGCAGAGCCTCCGGCATCACCCCTGGGTGCTGGCAGTGCCCCTGGCATCACCCCTGGGTGGTGGAAGAGCCCTCAGCACCACCCCTGGGTGCTGGCAGAGCCCCCGGCATCACCCCTGGGTGCTGGCAGAGCCCCCGGCATCACCCCTGTGCAGGGTGCAGGGCTGGGGCACCCCGGGCACAGACACCCCAGCACTTTGGGGGGCCACGGTGGCCGCTGGCGTCTCCCCGGTGAGAGGTTTATGGGGCGGTGGGCCCCCGGCAGCCCGCCCGCCGGCAGCCCAGCAGATGGCAATGCGAACCTGCCGATCGCCCCGCTGCAGTGGGAGCTAACAACGCCGCTGCTAACACAGAATCTAACCGTGTCCACTGCCCACCCAACCTTCGCTTGCAACCGAGTCACGTATTTGCCGTCAGCACCGTGTTTGGCTCTTGCATGGCGCGCTCATCAGCGACTTTCCCGCGTTCTTGGTCGAGCAGAAGCTACAACAGCCTCCACACGGCCTTCTTCCTTCCCTTGCTATCAAACATAACGCATCTTGTTACAGGGGCGACAAACAAAACACAAGATTCATCTGTGCTTAAGCCTGAAGAAAGTCATAAAAATTAGTCCTATTTCGGTTTTACATTATTTACTAGTACGTAGAAAACTTTCCAGCTAGCCTTGCATGCACGGCGGCTAACGCACAACGTAAACCACCCCAGCAGGGCTATTTACCTTTCTCAGCAGAGCAACCATTTCTTTTGACCACGCAGACGAGTACTGAACGCTCACAGTGCTGAAGAGCTGAATTAAAGACTCCACGGGGTTGTTGGAGTGGATGTCGTACGGTCTCTGGAGGGGGGGGGGGGAAAAAGAGCAGGAAGATGAGAAGAAAGTCCCTCTCGTCTCCGCGGGCGATCAGGACGCGCGTTCGCCGGCCGGCCGGGAGCCCTACCCAGCCCCGCAGCAGCTCGTAAGCCATGATTCCCAGCGACCACCAATCGACCTCGAAGGAGTAGCCCGTCCCGCCGTTCAGGAAGGAATGGAAGATCTCCGGGGCTGAGCAGAGAGGGCAGAAGGCGACGGGTTATTCGCTGGCTTCCGTTTGCTCCTATTTCAGTATTTCACGCGAGGTGTAAACCTGGCGGCTGTTCTCACGCCACTCCCGCCCGCGGGGAGGCTTTGCCAGCCAAGGGCGGCAGCGGCGATGCGCCTGGCCCTGCCCAGCGGCCGGGTTTTGGGGCGCAGGCAGGGGCAGCCCCCCAGCCCGGGGGTGGTGGAACCCCGGCAGCGAGCCCCGGGCAGGGCGGGAGGGGGGACGGGGCGCTGGCCGCCGCTCCTTCGCGCAGGGAGCTGCGCTTTCCCAAGGGCCGGGCGCCGCTGCACGAGTGGGCGCGTGCATTAACGTGCGGAATTAATTCCGGGCCTTTGTCACAGACACGGACTGTCAGGCAGCATGCGGTGAGTGCTCTTGAAATGTAAAATACAGACGTAAGGAACAGCTATTACTTCTTACCCATGTATGGCTTCGTTCCAGCTAACGCAGTTGCTCTTTCGCCATCCCTAATTATTGTTGCAATATTAAAATCTGTTAAATGTGCGTGACCTTAAATAAAGACACATTTTAAGAAGGAATTAATCGCAGCACAGAACAATGGCAGTGTAGTCAGAATACATTTGTTTCCCAAGCCTCTGCCCCCGGACAGTGCAGCCTGGGCACAGGCAGGTCAGGGTCACACCCCACCGAACCCCTGTAAGAGACCCTGGAGCTTTCCCAGGACCTGAGGCTGGCGAGGTGATGAGATGGTAGCTAGCTTTGGGTCTCGATTTTAAATCACACTTGGAGCAAACTAGTGACCTACACCAGCTCCAGCACTTGCTCAGATTGCTCTAGCCAGAGCCTCCAGTCATTCAAGAAGACAACAGGGAAACACTACACAGAGACATTGCCCTGGTCGCACTGATTAAAACCCTAGAGCTGTTTTTGATTAAAGCCACTGAACCACGACTACCCCAAAGTCCCAGACCTAAACCAGTGCTGCCACTCTGTACAGACCGCAGCAAATTTGTACATGCCGGTTGAATGAAATAATAACAATACTTCCCAAACCCTAGGGCTGTATGAAGAAATCATTAAGATATTTCAAAAAATGCTGGAATACCTTCTCTCTGTTTCTACCTTTTCTGTCATCAGGACTGGAGGTTAAAATTCAGAATAGGTCATTATTTTCAAGCCAGCCTGGTATACAGAAAACCCACCCATTCGCCCTTCTGGAGGCTACATTCTGCTCTCTATCTACAAGGCAGTTATGAAAGTGGTGTGTAAATCACAGACTGCCTTGTCCTGTGGACTCTTCCCTTACATCTCCTTTTTCCCGTTTCGGTTTGGGCTTTGCATCCTGCGCTATCTTCTAATTAACTTCCATGCAAGGGCAAGCTTTGGTTTTGATAAGGCTTTATGGTAGAACTCAGATGGTTTGGAGTCTGCTGTCCTGAGAGTGTGAAAGATCTACTTCTGGAAAGATCTACTGCTGGAACAGAGGTGGTTACAGGATCTCCCGTGGCAGTTCTCCCGTGCAGCCCACCGAGACAACACTCCCAATAGATACTCTCACCAAGGCTCCGGAACTCACCACCCAGCTCAGCCCAGATCCAGCCCCCCCCCCCCCCCAGAAGACATCAAAACTACCCTAAAAGTGCACGTGCAGATCACCCGCTCTAAAATTCAACCAACTCAGTTCTGGTGCTTCAGGCCCCCCCCAGCGACGCCAGGTACCGCGGTCCTGGCGTGGGTGACGGTGCCCTGGGGCCCTGGTGGGAGGGGGGTGACGGGGAGAGGGGCTGCCCGTGGTGGATCTGCCCTGGCTTTACAACGCACGGGTGCGTCCAACCAAACACCGACCAACCGGGAGGAGTGGTGCTTCCTCCACGCTTTTCCCAGATAAAAAGGCGCACGGTATTCAAGACCGTAAAGAATCTGTCCCTCACTGAAGGAGGCAGACAAAGCAAGGCAGAGAGATCCTACCTTGCTCATCGAGGAGGATGTTGTCTGGTTTTACGTCTCTGGGAAAAGAAGCAAGGTTCCAGCAAGATGAAATCTCAGTCAGATCAAGGAGGCAACTCAACAACAAAAAACCTGCAACTTTTTTATCTATCAAAAATTAGGAACAAGTGAAACAAAAATACCCTAACATTAGACAAGTCCCATTACGGTGGACTAGAAATACACTTCTGGGCAACTGGGCAAAAGAGCAGGAGCATCAGATTTCTTCAGGCATCGTTTCCAAGGAAAATGGGTAACCCAGTATCTGCGAAGCCCTCGATCGCTTTGAAACCTCCCCCCTGGAAGGTGCCCCCAGCGAAGTGTCAGCCTCTCTCCGGGTGAGCGGCACCCGGGGCCCGAGGGTGCCCAGGACCGGCCCTGCCGGCACGGCTCAGTGCCAGCAGGCAGGCAGCATCACCCCCCCAACCAGCCAGGGGCAGCTCCCGCCGGCTACCGCGGGCGAGCAAGAGCCTGCCTGCTTACCTGTGGATAATGTGCTGACTCCGGAGGTAGTCGAGAGCCAGCGCCATCTCGCAGATGTAGAGCTTGACCGTTTCTTCCGTAAACTGAACGTTTTGCTGGAGGTGGTAGCGCAGGTCGCCACCGAGGAGCAAGTCCACCACCATGAACATGTCCTCCTCGTCCTGGAAGGAGTACCTGCGGGACCGGCGGCGCCTGAGCGAGCAGGCTGCAGGCTCAGCGCCGAGCCAGGATTTTCCCCCTCCCAACGGCCCCGCTACGGGCGCGCACCGGCCTCGGCATTTGCACCTTTCGCTGGAAGCAAGTGCAGCTCCGGGTGCTGCCTCGGGTTTAACGGGTGGCTCTGCCCAGCACCGCTGCTTTTGGGGAGGTAAGTGTGCCCGTCAGCTTCCCTGTTGGCCACCCCCCCAGCGCTGCCCGGTATCCCCAGCAGCAGGCAGGGCTGCAGGCAGGGCCCGGGGCTTTGCCTGCCAGTCACTTCAGAGAAACTTCACATTTTCAACCGTGGACAATCTGATAAACCTGCTCAAAATACCTCTGCCTATCCTCAACATGAATTGGAAAACACAACCGCTAATTTAACCATAGAAAACAGAAAAAGAGATTTATATTTACTGTAGAGTAAAACGCCTCTCTAAATCTGCAGTGGGTCCCACAGGAGACTGACAGCAGTGAGGATACACTACAAAACAACGCTCAATTGTTATATTTGGCGACAGTATTTCTAAGGAAAGAGTATGTGGGATTGTATAATACTTATGAATCACACACTTCTCCTCTCATCTCAAATGTAGGTTTATTCTAAAAGTATGAGCTGAAAGGGAAAAAATTGCCAAGAAAGCAAGTTTTCTCAAGAATTTCATCACTTGCTGGAAAAAAAAAATATTTGCGATTGCAAAAATACTGAAAAAATACATAGCAACTTATTTGCCTATTCTGGAGTAACGGATCAACAAAAAGACTGAAAGGGATTACCGACTTTCACCACTCTGTGTATTAAACTCTCTGAATTCTGGAAAGCCTGCCCGAGCCCCCTGGGAGGAGCTGCCTCTTCTGGCAGTGCCTGTCCCCGCTGTCTGCCCTAAAGCCACACCTCAACGGCCCCCGAGCCCCCGCGACCCTGGGAGGAGAGCACTGCACGCCAGGCACTGCGGAGGCACTCCCATTTTTGACCCAAGATACCATTTTTGCTTACCCATTATTTTCCCAGTAAAAGCGTGGCTTTTATTCTACGTTTAATATTTTGTTCCTCCTGGTTGTGGCTGCACAAATTTTTAGGCCACGTCAAACCCCACGGGGTTGGAAAAGGTGCCCACCCACCCTGGACACCCGCTAAGCCCCGGCTGCAGACGCCGCCTTTACGAAAAGCCGCGCTGTCACCTGAGAGAACGCACTTCCAACCATGCCCGGGGTGCGCCGGGCACTTGGGCGATCAATCCTAGGCAAAATTTTGAGCAACCCCAGGCCACCTACACCGAAGGGGAAGGCCCACTCTTCGTTTCCCTGCTCAGTCTGTCACCCCCCCGCTCAACGGGCTGTCAAAGGTTTCCCATCGCCTCCCCTCAGCGCGACTCTTCTCGTGGTCTGGGAACTTCAGCCAAGATCTCCTCGCCTGTGTCACCCTGCCACGCAGCCCGTGCCCCCAGCCCCCTCCCAGCAGCGACGCCTGCCAGCACCGGATCCGCTCGGGGCTGGCGGGGGGGGGGGGAGATGCCGGATTTTCTGGTCCCGGCCCCGTTTTGGGCGCTCCTTCGCAGGGCAGGGAAGGCGGGGCGAGGGCGGACCACCCGGACCACCGGATCCGGGAGAGGGTCACGGGGCTGACTGCCAGGGGCTCCTCCCAAACTAACCAACGATCTCGGGATGTAACGCGCTATTTTCTAAAGCCTCTGAATTATTTTTTTTTTTTTGTGCAAAATTTGATAATGATATATCTAGGCTCTAGGGGTATACATTTCATTTGGTCAGTGAACACGTTGCAAAGCACTTTTTGCTCTTGGTTGCTCTCCAGCACAAGGCCACGCACTTGATGATTTGAAGAGATCTCATCAATTTTTTTCAGCAATAGATCAATACAAATAGTTATATCTCAAACTGCTCAATACTAACTTGATTGTGTGTGCATCGGCAAGAACTATCCTCGTTACTGAGTAATGTTTAAGGGTTTAACTTTAAAAAGACTCCTCAAATCAGGCTGAAATCTAACAAATAGCTTTAGCTGGTAATGCTTTTGAAACACATCTCATCTAAACAGTCACAGTAAAAAACGACGTGCAGTATATCTCCTTGGCTTCCCTACAACCATACTAATCCCTGACCGAGTCAGGACAGCTTTAAACCACCCGCTAAAACCCCCTGAGTTAGGACGTGGCTCAGAAACACTTTACTGAACACGCTGGCTACAGCTGAGAGCTGCTCTGTTTATTTAAACAATCAGCCAATCTCTGCAAGATCAAGTCCTTTAGACAGACCAAATACTTACCGTGTAAAGAGCTATATATTTTGTGTAATTTTTGTGTTAATCAAAGTCGTAAATCACCATCTCTAAATATGCTAGTTTCTTTGACTTTTCAAGCTGTTATTTGCTACAAAGGTCGGCCCCACGCAGTACCTGATTCCCCCCAGGCTGCCACAGTTCTCAGTACCTCCACGCACATGAGTTGGGCTATTGCTTTAACGGCAATCACGGGAGCATCCTCCTGCCCTGAGACCCCTGAGAGAAGCTGCGCACCAACACACCACAGCACAAAAATACTGCATGGTTAAATTGGCAGGGGGTCCCTCAGGAGGGGCCCGCTAGCAGTATTTGCAGGAAGGCCGTGAAAAACACCCAGCAAACACAGCAAGGTTTTTGATGGAAAAAGAGAAGCTAAGCTGTTTGATGCCGTAACATTTGGGTATCTTCTGGGCTTTGGTTCCTGAGCGCGCTCTGCATCACACAGCCTGCCACGGCCGCGGCGCGCTGGGATGCTCCCACGGACACCCGGGAGCCCAGGAGGCCGGGGAGAACGCGGCTCCACGAGCACCTGAGGGCAGAGGGAACGGAGCTGCTCACCAGAGATTCACCAGGAACACGTGCTCGATCTCCTGCAGGATCTCCAGCTCTCTGAACACGTTGCGAACCTCATCCCTTTCGATGCACTGCTGTTTGTTCATGTACTTCATGGCATACATCTTCTCGGTGTCTCTCTTCTGCACAATGCACACCTGAAGCACCGCAGAAGGGCAAGTTAAAAAGAGATTTAGTGAAATGTTCCGTGTCCCCATTTGCTGCAGACCCACGCCGCCCAGCATTTCTACCCCGCTATCAAATATTCCCGATCCCTGGGCTGTGACTTGGGATCTACAGATACAAGCGTCCCCGCGCTCCCGTTTGGGGCAGCCACCACCCCACCCGGGGGGTCTGTGACTGCGCAGCCCCTCAAGAGCTTCCCCGAGGATGTGATGGCTCGGGGGAGAGCGGAGAGCTTCCCAGCGGGGACTGGTGTCTGGGAGCTCTGGGAGAGAGCTCCGTGCTCCGAATGGAGACCGGCTTCAGGCGCTTCTCCCTCAGCCTTGACTCCATTCTGCTTACATCCGCGGGCTGCCAACCCCCCAGCAGATCGGTTTGCTCTATTGCGCAGATAGCTCCGCTCTGAAAGGTCAAAATAATCCCGTTTGTTTTAGCAGAAAGCCATTAAAATGTAAATTCCTTGACAGCAACAACAAACACCGTGCCCCTAGAAACGCAGCGGTGCTCCGTCCTCGCAAGCCACGGACCCCTGCCCGCTGTGCTCCCCACTGCCCGGGCTCGGGCAACCTGTTCTCCCAGCTGGGCAAGCAGGAGCCCACCGCGGGCCCCCCCGCGAGACACCAGCTTCCCACCGGCCCCAGCACCCCCCTTGCACACAGGCCCGGGGCCTGCCAGGCTGGCACCGCTCCCCCAGCCAGCATCGGGTCTTCTAACGACACCTTAACTACCAAGGGAACTATTTTTAAAAGAGCTAATTGGTTATCAAGGTAACTATTTTTAAGTGAACTAATGAAATTTCTACATCTGGTATAATTACGTCGGCCCTCTTCTAACCCTCAGACATGCTCATGACTGCAATGTGCTGGATATCTCTTCTTCGAAAAAGAAAGAATTTGCCGTTCTGGTCTTCAGCTGGAGCCGGGCAGGGAGGCTGACCCGGGGGTGGCTTCGGGCAGCTCCTTCGAGAGCAGGTCACATTCACACAGCGCCGGAGCAAGTAAAGGGAATTTCTGTGGATGGCAGAAACCAGCGCAGACAGACGGGAGCCGCCGAACTCTCCGCACTTCTAAAACACTGCCATTAATAACCGTTCGCGAGTGCTAATGGCGCAAAATATAATATCATCAAGGACACACTGCAGCAAGAAGGTGACAAAATAATAGGTGGTTATCATTAGCCTGATAAAAACATCCCAATTAGCGATGCACACAGAAATTACGGGGACTATTTTGCAGTCCTCGTCACAATTACGGTAAGAACGGAAAATTTTGTATTGAAATAACTCCACGCACACCGCAGACCTCATGCTAGCGGCTCACTTCTCGGGTGGCTTGACCTGAGCCATTTTCCCCGGGTGGGACTCGGGCTTTGCCCAGAGCCCAGCTCAGTCCCCGAGGTGCCAGCAAGCCTGTGCCCTGGTGCCCCTCCCAGCTGTCACCGAGAAGGGGTGTCCCCAGCCCCATCCCTCCTCCTGGCACCGTCCCCTCCCGCGCCTGGCACTGTACATAATACAAAAAAATCATAACGAAAGCCCCTGCTTTGTGCAAACTTAATAATAATAATAATGAACTACCTAGCGGGATTCAAAGCACCAGCAGGACCCAGCCCCTGCCTAAAGCAGACTAAATTGGCTGTACATTTCATGAACCAGGCAAAAATAACTTCATATTTTATAAATTCTTCCAGCAGAAAAGACCTAACAATATCCCTTTAAAATGTGGTCATTGCTATAAAACTTCTCTAAAAACAAACCTTTCAATAACAGCCATCCAGGCACTGAAAAACATTCTTTCCTGATGTCAATTTATTTTACATTATGGCTAGAAGCTCATTAATTTCTAATTTTTTTATTATTTTTTTTTTTTTTTTAGGTTGTGACTTGCAATATTTTAACAGGCATTTTATATTTATGTCATTTGCTTCTTGTTTCTCTGCAGGGAAAATGGAAACCTAGTATAATAAATGAGAAAATGATAAAAACTTCTTGTACTCTGTAATCATAATAAATGGTTTTCTGAAATGGAACAGCATCACCTACATACAAAGCAATGCCAGTTTCAGGCACTCTGGAAATTTTTGTTCTCTGTTTTCCAGAAAAGAACACCACCGTGGGCGTCGATGGAAATGTCTTTCTTGCCGGCCGGCCCCCCCAAAACGCCGGGGTGGTGGGGGTGGCCCCGCGGGACGAGCGGCTCCGGCTGCGGGGCCAGGCGGGCGCGGCCGTTCCCGCTCTTCGTTAACGATGACGCTAATAGGGCGCGTGGCGGGGCGCCGACCCACGCCCCACGGACGCCAGCCCCGGGGTCGGTGCCGCCCCGGCCCTCTGCAGCCGTCAGTGCCCCAACACGTACCTTCTCCTTTTTTTTGTGCTTCTCCACGCGTGCATCTGGGGAAGGAACGAACATCTACTGGGGAACAAGTCAGAGTGGGTTTTTAAATGACTCTCGATCCATTTTCAAGCAGATCTACAATGCGAAGCAAGGCAAGGAAGCAGAAAGAAGAGACTACTTTGTCCTCGTTCCATATAATGCCGTCCCTCACCGCACAAAGGAAATTTTCAGTGGTTAAATACAGCCATTAGAAAAAATTGTATGTAATGCTGCCAGATTTGTGAAGCAGAAGGCAGGCATCAGCTGGTACTATATTGCTCAAGACATGGCACATAAAAGATTTAATAGAATCCCAGATACCCTGAACATTCAGCTGCTGCCAAATGGTTTGTATACAGCTGCCTTTGCTTTTATTGCATTAAAGGCATAAAGGGTTTGGAGCTCGCATTTGCGATTCAGGACATGAGATGCGCATTTAACATCTCCCGGTTTGACCTGACTTTATGGGGTCCCAGACAACGCCAGCGCCTGTATTGCCACCATGGCTGGTGGCTTCTTCTTACCTGAACCTGCTCATCACTCAACAGCCCCGGCTACCTCGTTAGTTTAGAGGGGACTAATGAGGACTGTTGACATGGGTGATATTAAAAAGTAACAGGCGGGGAAAATGTACTCTTAGCTTTGAAATACTCACCTGTCTTTGAGGTAAGAGTTATCATTAAAAACCACAGTATGTAACAGAGGTGTCCAGAGCCGCCTCTCCGCTTTGTGCACAAGGTTTGGTTTATAGGGACAAGAGCCGTCAAGGAGTCAGCCTGACCCTGCTCCACTTCCCAGAGCCCCCAGGGGATTTTGGCCGCTGCCGGCCCCCTGCCACCCCTGCCCGGAGAACCTCCCCGACCTCGCCTGCGGCAACGCCGTCCCCGCGGCTTTCCCACTGCCAGAACACCTCACCCTCCGCTGAGCCGGCAGCGAATCCGTTTAATCTGTCCCGATAACCAGTGGGGAGAGCCGTGGGAACGGCCAAAGGCGGAGGGGTGGGGAGCCAAGGGGCCGGCGGCGGGCCCGGGGCTGCACCCCTCCGCCGCGGCCGCGCCGGGAGGAGCGCTCCGTGCCGAGCTCCGGCCACGCTCCCGCGGGGCGGACGGCACCGCGCCGGAACACGGCACGGCACCCAAGGCCCGCCTGGCTTTCCTGTAGCCTCGGAAAATCAGAGGGGGACAACGGGACCAGCCTTCATTTGAGGAGAACTAATGAGCGGGACCAGCCGGCACAGCTCTGAACCGCCGTCCCAGAGTCGGCTTGGTGGGGGCTGTTTTCACCAGCTTCCAGCTGATCCAGGGAAAACATTAAGAATTTCAAATATCAGGCCACAATTTAAGATTTAGAAACCAAAATAAACAAAAAAAATAGTACTGGGACTAAATAAGTAGAACATATCTGAGGAAATTACACTTTCGACCAGTTCATCTTCCACCACCCACACCACGACTGTAATTTGCAGGGATGAACCTTGCTCTTTCAGCAGGAAGGATACGCACCATTTACACTCTCACACAAAGCTGACTTTAGGATAAAGCCTCAGTCTGAACCTTATTCTGTAGGATCAAATCACTCATCACACCATGGACTAAGCACCAAAAGCAGAAACAAAGTCTGTAACCTGCCAGGAATTATTTGGCTTCTTAGTCCCCTGCATCACTCATTGGGCTGTTGCTTATGAGAGCTATTTGTACTTTCCACCCAATCATGGTGTAAGTTGGCATGGAAATAGAGAGCTGGGATCTGGGTGTTTTCTGGTGTCCAGGAGGCTCAGACATCACGTCCTTTCTGGAAGTTTGTTTTTTTTTTTTTTTGTGCTTGTTAATTCAGGTTACTTTCCCCAATCACCTACATTTTTGCTGCTCTGTACATTTTTCAGCCCAACTTGCTCTCTCTTAGGCAAACTTTGACTTTTCTCCTTTAGAAATCCAGTAACTTTTTCCTGCTGATTCTGAAGGAATCCAACAGGCTGAAATCCCCACTCAGATGAAAGGTCATCTAATCATTTAATAGCATGTCCTGACTTATCTCAAACTAATTATAAAGGGGCAGCACAATTTGTCTGGGCTCAAACAAAAGCAGGTAGTCTGCATTCTGGGCGAGATCTGTGGAGCTGATATATAGTTGAGACTGCTTGATCTGAGCTGCCCAAAGATTATTTTTTTCCTTCTGCGGATGCAGCTGTCATCTTAAATCAAGGCACCTGCGCTCCTGTCCTCCCCAGGATGTTACCATCACATCTGATGCAAACACCCACGGCTGGGTTCAAGAGATCTTCCTTTTGCTTCTGAACTGTGAGCAGCAGATTTTCTCCTTGACTATCTCAGTGGCTTCTGCCTTTGAAAGACGAGACCAATGTGCTGTAATCCTTACGTACACAGACACTTCACTGACTTCGGCTAAGAGCCTTCAGGAAGTTTCAGTGTACAAAGATGGATTTCGCTCATTTTGTTTTTAGAGTCAAGGTTTAGGATTAGCAAGTACTACGCACCAACATCAAGCACCTTGATCCTACACGACAGCGAACCACAGCTGAACACTGCTCTAGCTTACAAAAACACTTATTTGGAGTGGGTGCACCTTGCCCACATGTATTGATTTCT